TGCACCGTTTCCACAAGGCTGAAATGCTGAAGACTTTGCTTGAGGGAATTACCCTCAAGGGGATGTCAAAAATGATCAAAAAAAAAAGAAAAGGGAAATGTTAGCATGTTCATAGCACCAATGATTGCTTCTATTTTTTTTATATGTGGCTGCAGACCTGCCTTTATTAATTCATAAATTGCTGTCCCATTAATCATAGAGCATTTTCAACCTTTGCAGCCTCCTACTCTCACATTTTCCTTGAGCACAGAGGTGATGATAGTTAAAGTCTGTTAGGGATGACAGTTGATACCGTGGGTGGACACTGGGACTGGGCCACAGAGTTATACAAAACAACCAAAACAAGACGAGGAAACGATAAGAACGCACCATGATTGTGTGTGTGTGTTGGGGGATGACGTTGACAGATGTGCTTGTTGCTGCTGTTTTCTACAAAGACACACAGTCATTAACAGACAGTTACACTAATTTCATTGTCTTCTGCTGGCCTAACCTGTAATATAAATGTGCACACCCCCACATACTGTTCGCACTCAAGGTTTGTAACTCTCTTGGGGGTACTGAAGATGGATCAAGCTACTGTTAAGTCTGCTTCTTGGGGGTCATGCAATGGTAGTAGGGAATAATAGGCTTTTTGATATTGCAGTACACTGACACGGGAGATCCCACACTGTGCACTGCCTTGGCACCAAATTCATTCACTAAAGTTTTTGTCCTGCTGGGTTTTTGTTAAGAGGATACTACTCTGAAAAGGGTGCAGCAGAACTTCCACCTCAGGCTAGATTGTTTTTCAAGTTTTTAATTTGTTATATAGTTTCCAAATTCTGCTGTTGCATACTACCTACTGCTCAGTAGTAGCACAATATGTGTGGTTTACATGTAAATGTGTGTTTTTCTAAGCCATCACAATCTGCAGTCTGCCTAAGAAAGGCATCATTTCTTTTTTTTCTGAGTAATCTCACATAATTAAAAAGGTAACACCTGTTTCAGATACATAACTAGATCTATGGTTGAACAGTTTTTGCATGCACAAATATCCATGCACACACATACGCACACAGATCAAAAGCGCCATATTTTTCACATTATATAACAAAGCCTTGGAGCCACAAGGGTCCAAGTGATATTTGGGGACAAGATGAATTTTCTGCTAAACTAAACAACTTTTGAGCCAAATGCAGCCAGTTGATTTTTTTTCTTTTAAATACATAAAAAAAAACAGATTAGAGTAGTTATATGCTCGCCAGCTTTGAGTGCAATGGGCAGTGCTCCCAGCAGTATGAAAAAATAAAATAAATAAGAGACACATGATTAAAATCTGAAGGCTTCATTTCAACATGATGACTCTAAATAATTGAAGCAACAAAGCGGATGACACTGTTTGGGCACTGTTGCCAGAAGTGTTCCTTGCTATATTGTTACTTTAGTTCTACAGTAGCTACAGTGTACTCTGTAAGTATTGGTACATTGTTATTTTTGTATTGTTTGTATCCTGCAAGCTGGATTAAAGCAAACAAAATGACAGTGATGTTATAGTCCTGGCTTTCAGCTTTCAGGGTATTTAAGGGTGTTGGCATCCATACTGGGTCAACAGTGTTGTCATTTCTATATAGTTCTCCAATTGTATGACATTGCAGCAGAACAATGATCCCGACATACAGACAAGAAACCAAGGAGTATATTATGGCCAAACAGAGCAATGTGCCTCTCTTGCCAGTTCAGTCACCCGACCTCAATCCAACTGATCATACTTTTCAGGAAACAAACAGTAAGTGAAGCTGGCTGCAGTCCAGGCCTGGCCAAGCATCACTAGGAAATATAGTCCCCAGTGAGAAGTGCATTCTGTGGGCTTTAGACTTCTGTCACTCACCTATTTATTTATTTCAACCTTTATTTATTCAGTGGAGTTTTACTCAGAGCCGAGCTCTCTTTTTCAAGACCACTGTGACCACACACAGTTGTTCACGTTCACACCTGGAAGACCTGAGCAACTAGGGTTAAGGGGCTTGCTCAGTGATAGTAAAGAGGGAGGGGTAGTTGTTTGTCTTTCACTTTCTCCTCACAGATTTATCCTGCCAGTTAATGAACAAAAAAGTACATATGATTTAATTTAACTTTCTTTTTTTGTGTTTAATACATTTTAGTCCCCTAAAATTGAGAAACTAGATTTAGAAATTGCTATGATACCTATAAAGTTCATCTAATGTGAATGTAAGATGTCTGTGAAGTTTCTCAGTCATCCAGGTCATAGTTATCCAACGAAGATTAAAGTCAAGGGAAACTGGACTTGGTTGAAGATACTGGAAGACTTTTCGTCACTCATCCAAGGGACTTCTTCAGTTCTGACTAACTGGTAGGGAAACTCAGCTATTTAACCTCAGTGGGGTCGTTTGCCAGGATCGTCGATAGTGCTGGTTCGTTAGTGTTCCTGGTTGTTGTAACGACAGTCGTTACGGTCGTTAGGACTACCCGTGACCCAAGACTGAACGACCATCGTTGGCATCTTCACAGCCACAAGATCCAAGAAGAACAAAACTACAGGGGATGAAGAAAAGAAGGTCAAACACAACAACATTGTGATTCCATACGTGTCTGGAGTATCAGAGAAACTCAGGAGGATTTTCAACAAACACAACATCCCTGTGTTTTTTAAACCCAAGAACACACTAAGACAGATACTGGTACACCCCAAAGACCGCACACCCAAACACAAGAAAAGCAATCTAGTGTATGCTGTCCAATGCAGTGAGGAATGCACAGACCTGTATATTGGGGAGACTAAACAACCACTACACAAACGCATGGCTCAACACAGAAGGGCCAACTCCTCAGGTCAAGACTCTGCAGTCTACTTACATCTGAAGGACAGAGTACATTTGTTTGCGGACCACCAGGTGCACATTTTAGACAGAGAAGATGGATGGTTTGAAAGAGGTGTCAAGGAAGCCATCTACACCCGGGTCGAGAAGCCGTCATTGAACAGGGGAGGGGGTCTACGCCACCACTTATCCCCCACTTACAATGCTGTCCTTTCATCACTTCCCAGGAAACTCAACAAACGTAACCTATTGGCCTCAGGTTTGGCCTCAGGTCAAGATGCCAACGATGGTCGTTCAGTCTTGGGTCACGGGTAGTCCTAACGACCGTAACGACTGTCGTTACAACAACCAGGAACACTAACAAACCAGCACTATCGACGATCCTGGCAAACGACCCCACTGAGGTTAAATAGCTGAGTTTCCTACCAGTTAGTCAGAACTGAAGAAGTCCCTTGGATGAGGGACGAAACGTCTTCCAGTATCTTCAACCAAGTCCAGTTGCCCTTGACTTTAACCCTCGTTGGATTATGTGAATGTAAACACTCTCAAGTATAAGATGAATGTCGGCAGTTAAACGTCGTAGTTTTTTTTCATTTTTAAATTCAATATGCTGTGTACACATATGTACAAACTGTAACAAAATGTGTCACTGTCAGAATTCACTGTATATAGCTGCTACATATATCCTTTCTCTATGTCTATTCATACTATTCAGAGTGTGGGGAGTTCCCAGCATACACTAGGTTAGGGTCAGTGTACTCCCTGGACAGGTTGCCAGTCTGTCATGTTTATAGACAGATTTACACTCACATTCATTTCAATAGACAATTTATTATGATGTATAAGTTATTAATTTTTCAGTTCACCTAATCTTTACTATTCATTGGTTGGCACTAAGGTGACAGTATTTACTACTGAGCCACTCAACAAAAGAATTCCTTTCCAAGCGTACCTAAGCAAGTCTAGGTTTTGCATAACGCAAGCTCAATCTAACAATCATGTCTCCCTGCAAGCCACATTTACAGTATGTACGTGAAAGCACATTGCACTTTTCTCCTGTGCCTTTCACTCAATTTGTGCTTATAGTCTGTGTAAAATTACCATGTGGTTTGCAAAGGCAATAGGTTATTACTCAGTAAGTGACTGGGGTGGTCTTTTAGAGATGCATTTTGTGAGGAGCACTCAAAAGGTGCAGATCGGAGATGGATTTGTCTTAGATCAGTAAGGTCACAAGATAACAGGATTCAAAAACATTTACTAAACCTGCAGCTGAGAAACATTTCAGCATGTATCACTCAGGAAATTACAGTGGTGATCTTACTTTATTGAAGGCTTTGTAAAAGCTTCAAAGGAAACAAAAAATGCCTGCGGAGCATGAGCAGCGGTATTGGTATACAAAAAAAACAGTTTATTAAGTATCTGAAAAATTCAATCAACACTTATTAATGACAAAAAAAAATATTTGTTCCAACAATTAGGGATTGTTATGTGTCTGTAGTGCTCACCTTCATGACATCAGATCTGCAAGGTCTCTGGGCTGCAAGGATAAGACAGTAAAATGCTACATGTCAAAGGACTTGAGACCTCAGTCATGGCTCTTTTCACAAGACAAACCCATGTATAACTTGTGTATCAATGGATTATTAAAATTAAATCAATTTAATCATTAATTCAATTCATTGATTTTAGTTTGGTATCGGCAGATGCTCTGTTGTCATTTCCGTATCGAGCCAGCTCTGGAATGAGACCGCTGACGGTTCCTTAGAATCAGTAAATGCAGCCACATGCACAAACTTATGCAATCACCAAAGTGCATTAGTAACTCAGTGAGCATCAGACTTAAATTTGAACGTTTTTGGTTATTAAATGTTCAGATATTGTGTTAATTTTCTTGTTTTTATGAAAATCTTTTTAATCTTTAATCTTATTATTTTATTATTTAAATTTAATTTTTTTATTAAACCTTGCAGGTTTGGTCTGTTTGACAGGTAACATGCAACAAAATGACTTTTAAGCAAGTTGCAAAAGGCTTTGTGAATCTGGTCCCCTCTCACTTTGGAAAATACATACTGTACAAAACATGTGGGCAGTACCTAAAACATGGCTTAAATGTGCAGAAAGGTGTAAAATATGTGAATATTATTTAAGCACTTTTAAATGAAAAAATTTGTATTTCTGTAGCTCCATGTGGAGGACAGTATGGTGGATCTGAAGGAGTTGTCTTGTCTCCAAACTATCCTCTAAACTACACTACAAGACAGACTTGCTCCTACTACATCACTGTGTCCACACAGTTTGGTAAGTACATAAATTAACACACCACATGTCGTAAACGAAACACACAAAAGCTAATTTGTAACCTAATTAATTTCTGACATTTTTTTTTTCTTGCCTGTTCATCTTCTTCAGTGGTGTTTGGTCAGTTTGCTGTTTTCCAGACAGCGATGAATGACTCAGTGGAGCTGTTTGATGGAGCCAATGAGAATGCTCGGTTGCTCAGCTCCCTTGCTGGGTCACATTCAGGTGAGTCTCCTATTGGCTGACAGCTAAAGGAATGCCTTTGGATGTTGTTTGCTTGTTTTTTTCCGTCATTGTGAGTTGACTTATTGGGACTCATGACATTATATTTTTGAAAAGCTGCCATTTAGTTCTAATGTTTAAATTTTTTTTCTGTGTTTTCCCTTTTTTGTGCTCGTGTGCACATCTTTGAAAGAGGAAAATAATGAAATAGTCTGTAAGAAAGCAGCTCTTGGGGGCTGTAGAACACAGCAGCAGTGGTCGTTATCACAATTTATTTGACAGTGATGTATTTGGTGAAAATCCATTTTGGGTTATCTTCACAAGAAGAAATCAGCAGTGGAAAGCATCTCACTGGGGCCATACAATATAAAGTAACAGTGATACTTCTTAGCACAATCCTCCATGGGTTTCCTTATCCTCCAACTTTTAGTCATCCCAGCTCTGCAACATTTTGAGTCACTACACAGGAACACAGTCAGCATGGATGGAAATTGAAAGCTCAGGCAAAATCGATGTAGATGTAGTATGAAGAAATATTGATTAACATAGTTGTTGGCAAAATGTGCTCTCATTGCCTCAGAGTTTCGTGTTCTTCTGTTGTGCGTAATGGCCACGGGGCATGCTGCAAGGGAACCCCACTGGAATTGACATTTAGTTTCTTTCTATAAAAATCAGGGCTTTTAAAATATTTTCTCTGTAATGTTTATTCAGTTGCATGCTTGCACTGTCACGACTGGCCAAAATTAAGCAGTTTAATAAAGCATAAGACCGGAAATGCCAATAAAAATATCTTTCCAATATTAACATACTGTAGAATTTGATGGTAAAACATTAGTTTTACATTAGGTTTACATTTTTGCTTTTGCTATGCTTTTTGTACCTTCATTCATTGAGTGGATCAGTGAGCTTATTTCAACATAACATTAACAAGGAGGATGTGACAGTTTTTGTTTAGCTAAATGTAGCTGCACATTATGCAATTCAACTACTATTCATCTTAGTTAAAAAAAAAGAGGCCAGTTTATATAATATAGAATGGGTGGTTTATTCCTTAATGTTAATTTTGGTTTGAAATTCCCCTTTTGGCTAAAACTGGCAGCAAAGAATGAAACAAACACACAAGGCTTTACAAAATAATATTAGGCGCATCATTACCCTATGACACATGCACGAATACACACACACACACACACACACACACACACAGGCAAACAGCTTTGTAGCACATTGTTCCAGCTAACTGACTGATTATCCTGACACACAAACATATTAACACACATACATGCATACTGAACTTACACATACACACACATCCCGGCTCAGTTAATGATGGTTCTAAATGTCAGCCACACCGGACCATGTTTTCCTCATTTATCACTGTTATTTCATTTGCTCGTGTATGTGTGTGCATATATATCTGCCTGGGAGTCGGTGTGTATGTGTGTGTTTGTTCCTACGTTCTTATTATTGTGAGGATCACATTTTGCCACAAGGCAAAAAGGAAGGAGAATTCCTGCTAAGTGGTTATGGGTGCTGTAGAAACAAACAGGCTGTGTATGTTTGTGTGTTCATATGGAGCTGTATTTTTGAAAAAAAAAAAAGTGCTGTGTTTTCAGGAGAGAACATTAAATTTTTTTTGTTTGCATTAACATTAACATTAATTTTGAATTAATTTTAATCATTTTTCTGTGTGTGTGTGAAATTCTTTGTCCCAGGAGAGACACTGCCATTGGCAACTTCCAATCAAATCATGCTGCGGTTCAATGCTAAGAGTGGCCAGTCAGCTAGAGGTTTCCACTTTGTCTACCAAGGTAACTCTAAATCTTTCGCTCTCTTTTATCAGAGTCATTCTACTTATAACTATATTTCATTTTTCTTCTCTCTTCCTTCTTTTCAAATGATTTAATTACCGTCATCATTGAAGCTGTGCCTCGCACTAGTGACAGTCAGTGCAGTTCAGTGCCAGAGCCTCGGTACGGCAGGCGGATCGGTTCAGAGTTCTCAGCTGGTTCTGTGGTTCGGTTTGAGTGCAGTCCAGGGTATCTACTGAAAGGATCCAGTGCTATGCGGTGCCAGGCTGTGCCAGGTGCCCTTGCCCAGTGGAATGCAACAACACCAACCTGTATAGGTTCGTCAAAGCTAACCAGCTAACATATGCAGCTCCAAAAAAAAGAAATTTGTCTTTCCTGTGAATCATCCAGTACTGTATGAGTTGGGATTTTGACATTAATTCTAACAAACTAAATGTATGCCTGAGTGAAATCTCCCTCTGCTTAGAGCAAGCCTTTTGCAAGCAGCTTCAACTGTCACCTCAGTTTATACCATAAATAATGTTAGTTATCATATTTTCTCTCTCCGGCTCCCCGTAGTGTTAATTTGAACACCATATTGTTCCTGGGAATGCAGAGCCATATTCCAACAACCTGTCCTATTTGTTAGCTATTTAGTTAATAAACTTTGCCAAGATATCCATATTTTATGTCTTTATTCTAGTTCCCTGCAGTGGCAATTTGACTGAACGTCGCGGTACAATACTGTCTCCTGGCTATCCTGAACCCTACCCAAACAGTCTCAACTGTCTGTGGAGGATCCATGTCAGTGAAGGGGCTGGGATACAGGTACAGATATGTTTACATATACACTAAATATAATGTATAAACACTCATTATGGGAGATGCACATAAACTTGGAGGCTATTATGTTTATTTATTTTTATTTTATGCTATTTAGATCCAAGTGATGACGTTTGCTACTGAGCACAACTGGGACTCTTTGGAGATCTACGATGGAGGAGACATGACAGCTCCTAAATTAGGGTCATTTTCTGGTATGACAGTATGCTCTCTCACACACACAAACGCAAACTCATGCACAGACTCCCATGCACACAAGCACTCCAGAAATCTATGATGGATGAGATATGACAGCTCATAAACTATAGACCCACACACATAGCACATATGCACACTCGAACATGAACACACACACACAAGATCTATGATGAATTAGATATGACAGGTCTTAACCTATAGATACACACGCATATAGCACACCCTGGCGATCTATGATGGATGAGTCGTAATACCAAAAAAATATGATATACATCTTAAATAAATAATAAACACTTGAATTCTTCTGATTTCCTGGAAGTCAGTGAGAGGAATAGAAGAAAGAAGGAAGTTAGGGAGGGGATGTGTTTACCATGAGCTTTGAGTGAAGGATGATAAAAAAAGAGGGAGAGAAAGAAGACGGGGAGGGATAAAGAATGATCTAACCTTTTACTATTTCCCAGCGGAGTTTCCCCTGTGACCTGCCCCAAGCACATACCTGTCACACACCTATCACACATTAAACATACTGCCCACAGGACAACACACACACACACACACACACACACACACACACACACACACACACACACACACAAATGACTATGCCCAACGGCACATTGGGGAGCTGCCCACTATAACCACAGTGATCTGATGTTGGCCACTGAGCAGCTTCACACTAAAATGCTAGCTGTCCACAGAGGGTGAGGTGTCGTTCACCTTCTGTGCACATAATTTCCCAGCTGGTCGTGGGATTTAAACCATACTTGAAAAAGTGTCACCATGTATTTTTCACTTGATTTCTTTTTTTCTTGTATGCCCAGCATTGGGCTACATAAACTTTAATGGTATTTTTTTTATATAAATTAATGTAGGTGAAAAAGAAATATACTTAAGTAGCACTTTTTTTGGTTGCACTTATCACATTTTAATTGTACTATACTAAGTGTATATTAAATGTTTATTTTGGAACAACTTAAATTATGATAAGTGTCCTTTTAGAAATACTTAAACTCAACTTTAAGATAATTGCAATATATTTGAATATACTTAGTTGTGTTAAGATGGAACCACTTTAACTACCTTTATTGTAATTTAAATATACTTCTTTAAATTTAACTTAAAATGCCCTTTTGTCCTGTACTTGAAGAACAGTTTAAATATATTTTAAACTTCACATAAATGTCTTCCCTGAACATTTTTAGTAGCATATCAGCTTTTAGTAATTTATTTCTTGTATACTCCAAGAGCCACTATTAATATATTGGGAAGCTGCTTTATGAAACTATTCAGTATGAGAATAATTCATTATTAATGCGTTAAAAATACCTTGCATAATAAAAATCAGTAAAAAAATAAATTCCTGTACATTAAAAGGTACAGCAGCATGTATCACATCTAGACTAAAACACCTTCAAATAAAATAAAATCAGTAAAATGATGACATATGACCAGTATTACTGAAAAGCTCACTATACACATCCCATTATTAATGTTACCCATGGGGGTCCCTCATACAGTTCGGACACTGGGCAAGCCATCCCACTTCTGACACCATATGCGGCAAAAGGCGAGAGCAGTCACCCTACCCAGATTCAAACACAGGTCTACAGGGTACCAAACATGCAACTTTGACAGCAACGCCAAAGAGCCAGGCTCATTGGTATGGCAGCCCAAGCGCTTACTCAACTGTAGTGAAGGTACTTCGTCACAAGCATACAGTACAAATGGTGGAACCAAACTGAAACAGAAAAAATGTCACAATCCTTATCCTTCAAATGGAGGGTTGGTTATCTTTATGTAGGACTCGTTGCATTTTCTGCAACTGCAGACACTATGGGATTTGGAAACTGCTTTATCACACAGCATCTGTAGAAGGGAAAAGAAAATATTTTGTCTATATCAAAGCAATATTACCTCTAATTAACTAACTACGATTGTCTGATTTTTTTATTTTGTTTAAAGTTGCTGAAACACAATATGACATCATGTCTAACTGTTCTGATAATGCTAACTGTTTAGGCTCAGGTGAAATGGTTTCCATAAGGGACCCCTCCCAGTTAATGCTCAGTTCTTCCATTTCAACATGATCCAAAACATTACATAAACACTACTGTATATTCAGCCAAGGAGCTGTATATGATAAAATGTTATTAATCCGCAACAACAAATAACACAAACATTCAGACTTGCTTAACAACTGTGCTGTCTACATGTCATTTCACATTAACACAGCAGTCAATTTGTGAAGTACAAAAGCAGCCACTTAATGTATAACAATATTTTAATATAATTATTTTTTCAAAAGAATATTTGTTTATTTAGTCCTGTTGACATGTAGTGAGAGCAAAAACAGTGATCGTGTGCAGGAGCCAGACATCCCTATGAGCACATTGAGCTTGTGAGGGTCCAGCTGGTCCTTTGAGGTTTTCAGGGCCTCTAAGCCATCTGAGTGAGGCAACAATCCCAGGAAGCTCTAAAAGAAAAGAAATGCAGTTGCAAATGAGTTTAAATATTCAGTTAGGCCAAAACTTCCACCTAGTTTAGTTCATTTGCGTATCATTATAAATACTGTAATTCTATTCTTATAGCAAATCTTTATTATTATTCTTTATTTAATTTTTTTGAGCTAAGGCAGGGAATTCCAACTCTGGGTTTAGCATTAAGTTGGTTAAAGTTGGCAAAGGGTAGGTTCAACTTTTAAAAGTTGAATACAGGATATATAATAATAATAATAAAATAATCTTTATTTGTAAAGCACTTTTCAAAAACAAGTTACAAAGTGCTTTAACAAGTGTAAAGACAATAATACCCAAAAGACAATAATACAAAAACAATACAAGATAAAAGCAAGAAAACATTGAAAAGACTAACGTCTAAGATAAATATAAAATAAGTAAAATAGAATAAAATAAAAGGGATAAAATAGTCAAATAAGATCGGGAAAGGCTCTCCTATAAAAGTATGTTTTAAGAAGGGACTTAAAAGAGTTCACTGACTCAGCCGACCTGATTTCCTCGGGTAGGCTGTTCCAGAGCCTCGGGGCCCTGACTGCAAACGCTCTGTCCCCTTTATTTTTCAGTCGAGACTCTGGAACAGACAACAGACCTCTGCCTGAGGATCTCAAGGTACGTGCTGGTGCGTATGGGACTAAAAGGTCAGAAATATAAAAAGGCGAGAGGCCATGAAGAGCTTTAAAAGTGATCAATTAAATTTTAAAGTCAATTCTAAAACATACTGGGAGCCAGTGTAATGAAGCTAAAACAGGGGTAATGTGGTCATATTTCTTTGTTCTGGTTAAAAGCCTGGCAGCTGAGTTCTGGACAGTCTGGAGTCGATCAGTAGATTTTTGGGTTAAACAAGAAAAGGCTGATGCAATAATCCAGGCGTGATGAGATGAAGGCGTGTAAAATGGTCTCAGTGTCCTTAAAAGTTAATATAGATGGAATTTTTGCTATATTTCTAAGTTGATAAAAACATGATTGAACAATCTTTGTGGTGTGCTGCTTGAAATTTAAATTACTATCAAACCAGAAACCAAGGTTCTTTGCCACAGGCTTAATGTGATTTACTAGGGAACCAGCAGATGGCAGTATTTGTTTTGCCATCTACTGGGACCCGATGACCAGGATTTCTGTTTTGTTTTTGAGTTCAGCTGGAGGAAATTATTTGACATCCATTTTTTAACTTCACAAAGGCAGTCAGTAAGTGAACTCAGCATTCCAGGGTCTGTGGATCTGACGGGCAAGTACATTTGTGTGTCATCAGCATAAATATGAAAAGAAATGCCATGTTTATGGATAATATGTCCAAGGGGAAGCAGATACAAGGAAAACAAAATGGGTCCTAAGACCGACCCCTGAGGCACACCATATTTAACTGGACAGAACGAAGAGACATAGTTGTTTACAGACACGCAAAACTTCGTATTTGACGGGTAGGATGAAAACCATTCTAGGGCCATACCAGAGATCCCCACCCAGTGCCTCAGTCTGTCTAACATGATGTTGTGATCAAGCAACTAAGCACTAAGGTCCAGGAGTACCAGGACTGAGCACATACCTTCATCAGCAGACATTAAAAGGTCATTGGTGACTTTAAGCAGGGCAGTCTCAGTGCTGTGGTACTTCCTGAAACCAGACTGAAACTTTTCAAATAATTTGTTATTTTCCAGTACAGTGAGCAGCTGATTGGACACAATTCTTTCTAGAATCTTTGCAATAAAAGGCAGTTTTGAAATTGGTCTAACATTTTGTGGGAGGCAGGGATCTAAACCAGGTTTCTTTAAAAGTGGGTTCACGCAAGCCGTTTTAAAATAATCAGGGACACAACCAGTATATAGGGAGCTGTAAAAAATTTGTAGGTATTACATCAAGTGGGCTGGAGGACACTCTCATTTGTGATACCGTTTTTAAAAGCTCAGACAAGTCGATGGGATAAAACTGGTTAAAACTCTCTTGTTGCTGGTGAGGGACCTCTGAGTAAGAGGCCGTGGGGGTAATAGAGGCTCTGATTGACACCACCTTATTGGTAAAATAAGATAAAAACAATTCACATTCATCAGTACTTCCAGCTGAGGCACAAGGAGGGGTTGGGTTTACCAGCTGATCCACAGTCTTAAACAGAAACCTGGGATTGTGTTTATGTGTAGTAATGAGCTCAGAAAAATAGTGTGTTCTCGCATCCTTAACCATGTTATTGTAGTTAATTAATTAATCCTTCAGACTGAGGTAATGGACTTGAAGACTGCTTTTCTGCATTCCCCTTTGAGGCTGCGAATGCTGTCATTTATCCAGGGTTGCTTATTAGCTTTAGACGTAGGCCTAACCTTTAGAGGAGCAGTAATATTTAGTGACGACAAGCAGATATGATTGAAGTGATCGACCAGATTGTTGGTGTTGGAATCAGACAGGTGTTGGCTTTGGCTCTGAGAGAATGCGCAAAACTTTGAAACACTTTGTTCATTAAAGATGCGAGAACACACGGAGCTTGGTGAGGTGGCATGAGTAACAGGAGAATCACAGCTAAAAACAACAACATAATTTAAAACTAAAGTAGATAAAAATTCAGGAAGTCCTCCAGGCGGTTTTGGGGGTGATAAATTATAATAAAACATGATAGGTTGCAGCCCTCCAAGTTTAAGAGGGAGAACTTCAAAGGAGTTATATTCATCACAGCGTACTTGATGACATTTAAAATTTTTCGTATACATGCTCACTAGCCCACCACCACGACCACTGACCCTCGGTTGACTAAATCATTTTGAGGCGGACGCAGTTCAGCTAGCTGGCGATAGTCATTCATTTGCAACCATGATTCAGTTAAAAACATAAAATCTAGATTTGCAGACAAGATAAAATCATTTAAGATAAAAGTCTTACTTGAAAGTGATCTTACATTGAAGAGAGCCATTTTAAATGAGTTTGTTCTAGGTGCTGGAGTTGGTGCAGTTGTCCTAATCCATATAAGATTACTATGATTGCTGTGTGGGATGTGCACATTTCGGTTTACTGGTCTATGCATGATGATGACAGGAATAGAAGTCTTTGGAACAACGCTGTGAGCAGACGGTTTTACATGCCAGCAGGTGGAGACAGTTGTTTGTGGCAGTGAGGCAGAGTTATGTTGACCGGTGTTGAAGTGACCGGTGGTGTGTCCAGGTGTGCTGCATGAATGATTAGTCATTTACTCTAACATTTCTGAGCCACGTTTGTTTGGGTTAAGTCCGTCTGTTTTAAAAAGAAACATTCTTTGCCAGAAAATATTAAAGTTATCGACATAACACACACCGTGAGCCCTGCAGGCGGACTGGAGCCAGTCGTGGAGGCCAAGAAGTCTACTGAAGCGGCCAGCACCGCGACCAACTGTGGGAATGGGACCAGAGATAAAAACGGACTTTCCACACTGCTTTAAAAAGTTAAAAGACGGTTAAAATCTGATTTTGTCAGCTCAGACTGCTGAAGAGCTGTGTCATTTGTTCCCACATGGACTATCACTTTTGTGATGGAGCACGGGAGCGATGGCATTAGGTCCTGGAGTTTTTTTAAAATGTCAGCCGTGGTGGCACCGGGGAAGCAGTGAGTGGTAGTGTTAAAGAAAAGCATGTTTCTGGTTATGGAGTCACCAATTATTAGTGTGGTTGGGGAGAAAAGGGGATGAGGAGATGCCAGTTGTGTGGTTCCAGAGCAGGACTGAGCAGAATCTGCTTCAACACTGCGTGCGGACTGAGGATGGAGTGTGTGAGCTGCCGAGTGTTGTGTTAGAGTAGCAGTAACAGACCTGAGAGAAGCGCTACCCGATGGTGCAGGGTAGAGACGGCCTCCAGAGCGACTGAGCACACCTACGTCGGGAAGTGGAGGTTTTTGACCGGGATGACGGCCGCCGACCAGGCCCAGCAGCAGACCAGTGGCCCAGCCGATCACCGTTTGCCGCCAGTGCAGGAGATGTAGCCGGTGGAGGAGATGCAACAGTGTCGGCAGGCACTATCCGCCGAAAGGGATCCGTGTCAAGGAGACTCGAAGCCGCAGGTGCATCCGCTGGATGGACCGGAGTGTTGTCAGACAGGGCTGCACAGCGGTTGGAGAGGCCGATGTGCTGAGGAGAGGCAACCCCGTCCGAGCCTCTCTTGCAGCCACGAACCACCACTTCAGCCCAGGTTGACTGATGCTTCGGAGTCGAGCAGGAGGACAGCCTTGGAAGGCTAGATGGGTCCCATAACACGGTGTCCTGGATGTTAGCGGTTGCGTTAAGAGAAACAATCTGTTTGGCTTGTACTGAAGCCACATCCATAAAGCCAGTCAGCAGGGAATCTTTCTCTTTGAGTTCCTCTGAAAGTCGTCAGATATCTTTCACAAGGTCAGCAATCTTTTTGTTCGCTTTCTTAAGGAGCGTGCAGTCCTCATGGGGCAGAGTTATCTCGGCTAGCGTAACGGTAGTCGCCGAAGCTTTGTTGTGATCAGTAGCGTTGATAGCGTTTTTACGGTCATCTAGCTTAAAATCCATGTCGGATGACTTAAATCCTTAACCCACGTAAAACATAAGTTAAAAACTTAAGTTAAATAAAAAGGATATAAAAAATGTAACAAAAAAGTGTGGATTAAAACTGGATAAGGCGTCTGTAGCTACAGACGCCAACGCATGCGCATATGACCATACAAATGTATATAACATCACATGCTATTATATATCGTGTGGTCAGACATTGCAGGACACAAACATTATTTCAAGCCTGTCTTAAAAGAATTCTCACATACCCGTGTACACTTTAACATTGTTGTTATAACTGAGTTATTGGTCACTGTAATGATTATCCCCTCCATTGCTGCAGTGAAGAGAAATCTGTAAATAACAGAGTACCTTTAGAAGAAATGCACTTTTGACTAGTCTAACGCAGATGCTTAGCTGATGATTCATATTAGCTTCAGTTAAACAAAAATGACAACTGATGTCTTTACAGACTAAATGGGCAGGAATAATAATGATTACAGTGACCAATAACTTACTTGATGTAAATATGGACATGTGAGTATTAAGGTAGACTATAAAAATGTGAACCTATTCTTTAGCACACAGACAGCAACATATTAATTGCATTTGTTACTCTGATCTGGTCATTTTAACAGTGCAAAAGCACAATTGAGGACTCATATACACACACGCACAGGCCTGCCTTGTTAAAATCTTATGCATCAAATTCCAGCAACAGGGTTACTGAGATCGAAATTTTTGTAACATTAAAAACTTCCCTACAGCAAAAAGTAATATGTTACTGTAACGTTAATTGCGTTACTCCAACACTGTTTTAAGGCAGACGAAAGTCACTGTCTCCTTTATGAAGCTATTAAAATGCTAACTAACGTTAGCTAATAAATACTGTATATTAATCCATTAGCTCATGCACACCAGCGCTATCCTCCAAGGAAAATATTTTCAAACCCAGAGTGAGCTCAACTTTAGTTAACTTACACAATTGTGTTGTCTTGCTAACAATAATAAACTTACCAAGAAGGACGATTTTTGCCGGTCCAGCAGTATCTGCGTCTGTCCTCTCCTGCTTGTAACGTTACTTGCCAGGCATACCTCTTTTTTTAACTTCTGCAGGGAGCTGACCGGATATTCTTCTCTTCCGTGTTCTTTTCTTATTATGTCTGTGGTGTCCACTTTCGGCAAGTCAGAGTTGGTAAGAAACAAAATGATTTCAAAAATAGCTTCCCTCTCAACGACAGTACACACGTTAACTTTCGTGAAGCGGACTTTCACACTGTGTGATTGGATCGTTGATTAGAAAACCTTGATTCTGATTGGTCAAATTGCATGCACTGCGCTAGTGGGCTGGGCGGGAGGGCACACTTTGCCCCTGTGTACAGATGTTTTTACTGTTTACAAACAGAAACAAGTATAACTACATTATGATTTAAAGTATGCTTATTATACGTTGTTGTTTGTTTGTTAAGTTAACAACATGTGCTGCTTCCTTCTTGGCCAGGTTACCTTTGTGAAAGAGGTCTCAACTAGCTATTTACCTGATTTAAAAAAAATAACAGAAAGAAAAGAAAAGAGAATGTTAAAGCTCCAGAGAATATATCTTTATTATACTTGTAGTAAGCATGTTAGGAGTATGAATGTACTATAAGCATACTATGTGAATTTCTAGTACATTTTCAGTGCCTTTAAGAGCACTTCTTTTTGAAGAATTGTGAATTGGGCTAACATCTCATTGACTGGTTCTGCCATGTGTTTATCTCTGTCTTTTTACAGGAACCACTGCTCCCGCCCTCCTCAACTCAACGTCCAATCAGCTCCTTCTGCACTTTCAGAGTGACATCAGTGTGGTGGCAGCAGGCTTTCACCTAGAATACAAGAGTGAGTGAAAGCTTTTAACAAAGACGGACGGACGGACAGATAGATAGATAGATAGATAGATAAGTTTAAAAAGATTATACTGCTGAGGTAAAACAACTAGGGAGAGAATACTGGGTGCCTTCCCACCAGAAACCACAAACCCACAGACAGGCACATACACTTGAGCACACGCACACACACATCGTTGCAGCCAAAACCTCAACATCAAATAACAAGAGTCAGTGACCTGAACTGGTACTGCCTGAAAGCATACACACATACTGAGAGCCACATTGGAGCGCACACACAGAGCACACACCTAAAGGTACGTAAACGGAGACATGTAGACTCAGACACATACATACATGTACATAAAAAAGTGCTTTTGCTTGTGTCGTCATACCAATAAGACCAAACAAAGGGACATACACACACACAAATATGTACACATACAAAGGTATAGACATGTATATTAACAGCATGCCTTTACACACATACACAGGCCATGGTTGTGCTTTTCAGTCCTTTGTAGTTGTTTTAGCTTAAAATCACTTCTAGATCAATGAACATGTCCCCTTTTCTGATTATGTATGAGCATAATAGTGTGTGTTTGCACGTGCTTTTCTGTGTGTGTGTCTGTGTGTGTAGGTGAGTGCACACGTTTGTGGCTCAGTAGTCCGTATTTTCGTTGGCTCTATGTGTCAACATGCCGTCACTGGGAATGAAAACTTGGAAGAATGGTCACTTTTGGCGACTCAGTTCATCGTGCCTATTTCTTTATTTTTGCTTCAGTGTATTTCTGACTGTGGTTACTCTCATCTTTTTAGTGTGGCTTTTATTACCGAATGTGCCATGTGGATCCCTTCCTGTACAGTATCATAAATACTCCTCAGATAAAAATGGCACTGGTTGTGGGCCACTTTTCTATTTTTATGTTTTATCATTTATTTTGTCCTGCGACACATACTGTATATTTTTGAGTTGAGAGCAATACAGGTGGTATTATGTTGGGGCTTTTTTTATTTTTTTGCTTTCCTTCTCTATCATGTTTCGTAGTTTCCATGGCAAGAGGATTTTGGGTGTGCTGTGCTGGCAGGAAGGTTGGGATTAGAGGTCTTCATGGGTCCTCTTAGTTCTTTGTAACCAAGATCCAACTTAAAACCCAAGCCAGGCTGCATTATATTTAGTTTAATCAGATTGCGTAGGTCTACGCAATCTGATCAGTGAACAGTGGATCCTGACTACCTGGTATCAGCCCTGATTATATGTTTAATAATATTAATAACAGCATGTGTGGCAAAATGTTTTGATCTTGGCTGCTTGTTAATTTGGGGACATGAAAAAAACAAGTATAACTTTTGTTTTTGTGTGCACATGTATATGCGTATACATTAAAATTTGTGTGTGTGCTTGTCCATGTGTATCAGTCTTTGTTTGTGTTTAGCTCACAGCAAAAGTTGTAAGGCAGTACAGGGGAGGGTGGAGACGGAACAAAGGGCAGAAAGAAAAGACGAGATAGGTTATGTAAGGAGAGTGAAAGGCGGGTAGATGAAGAGTGAGAAACACAGAGATCTCTATTGTCTACATTATAAAGAATAATCATCTCTTCTCTTGGTGTTTCTGCATTTGTGTATAAGTAAATGTCTGCTATTATGTGGCAAAAACAACACAACGCATGCCGTTTCATAGTGTTAGTCCGCAAGCAGACTATTTACTGTAATCACAGCAACCAAATCCAAGTACAGCATGCTGAGCATTGAAGTCTTTCCAAGATCACCTTAAATAAATATATCATACATTACACCACCATAAGAGCTCTTGCATGACTCAGATTGTAGTTATCTCAAAATGAGTGCCAACACTTTAATCTGTACCAGAATTTGTTCCAAGTTTGCCTGAGAGGTTCTTTACAGGAGGTCTAGCTACAAAGTAGGCTTTTAACTTTTTCCATTAAACACAAATCAGTCAATGTACCTGTTCATTATGCGATAAGAACAGAGACACTGCAATTATTATTTTCCCTTCAGATGATTACCTGTGTGCACTCTAGGAAAAACAACTAGTATAACCCAAAAAGGACTTACATTACATTTAGACTTCTCGTAATGATTTTCATTTGGTGTTTAAACACTATACAAGTTGTGCACCAATGTTTCTTATGGAAGGAAAACAAGACCCACCGTATAGCTATTAGTCTGCTAACGGTTCTTTCAGTTTTACAGTAATGTGATAGCTTGTGTAACTGGACACAATTGTCTGCTGGGGACACAGGGATGATTGTGGTGATGATATTCTCGTAATTTTAAGTTTACTAAAGGGGCTTTCATTGAAAGGGCAGAGAAAGACATCTCTAAATCTCTCTCCCTCATATGTCCTCAAGTAAACTGAAACAGAAGTATAGTAAATCCAGTCAGTTAGACTTAAATGCTGACACTGTCTAGCTGTAGTCTAGTGGCCCTAGTGGGGTGGTTTGTGGTACTGTCAGCATTTTACAAAGCATCACTGCTCTGTCATGACCAGGGAAAAGAGGGAACATTTTGTAAGCACAGAGAGAGGGAGAGAGAGAGATGGTCAGCCAAATGGAATAGTTTCATTGATCAGTTGTCCTGACAGCCTGCTGATGCTCCACCTAATAACACAGTGTGTGTGCATGCTTCTGCGTCTCAAAGTTACAATCTTGTGCAGCTATTTCACTTATGCTCAATCTAAAAAAAAGTAGACCAGGACATACATTCACAAACACACAAACATTCACTCCTCTCTCTCCCCTCCTTTTTCTCTCTCTCCCCCTTACACCCCTGTGTTGCCATGGTAACCGCTCTAGGGCAGTCTCCTGCGGAAGTTTTCAAGTGAAACAAGCAGGCGTGCACACACACACACACACACACACTCCCTCTCACTGATGCTATTTGGTAAAGGGCTGCTGTCAAACTTATTAAGGATGTGTTTAACCTTTAATGTGTTGGGAAAACACAACCAAAGTCATTATGTTAGCTTCACATATTTGTAAGCACATTTCAGAGGCTGCTGTCACTGCTGACAATGTGCAAGCTTTTTTATTGTACTAGCTGTCAATTCAAAAATAGGCTCCTGTTTATTAGAAACAAAACAATAAGAACATTTGTAAATTAATCTGCCACATTAGTTCTTTAAATGAATGAATGTAGATATTGTAGATTGAAGTTACTCAGAGACACTATTAACCTGTGTAAGTGCTAGATACAGAAATTAGGTAAACTACTGTGTTTTGCTGTGATTGTGTCTTTTATTTGGTGTGCTCATTTTAAGAGAAAGTTCCCATACGTGTCAAGTACAAAGACGGGAATAGCAATGGTAACATCTGAAGCAAAGACAAGGTTAATTGTTTTGCTGTCACTGTAGTGTAGAATAAAATTACTTTAGTCTGCCTTGATAAGTTTCACAAAGACAGCAATGTGAGTTTAGCTGTCTAGAACCTAAGGAAGTGATGATCATGTCACATGTACTGTATTTTCTGTCCATATCTGAGGCTAAGTAACATTTAGATAGAAAACATAATGACAAAATATATAATAGTAACAACATTGTTAATCATGTTTATGCTCATTTCCTTTTTTGTAGCTGTTGGTCTTACCACGTGTCCAGAGCCAATGATCCCAGCCAATGGCATTAAAACAGGGGACAGATACATGGTAAATGAGGTGGTAGCATTCACCTGTGAACCTGGGTACACGTTGCAGGTAATAAACACAGACACACAAACTGACCAATAAACTGGTTTTCATATATTGTGGTTGGTATTAATTCAACAGAAAATAAGATTTTTGAACGTTGTTTATTAGGAGCACACTGAAGGCAAAACTTGTGTCTGGACACGCACTGTTGTGTGTAACAATTAGCAAGCATGCAATAAAATGACATTTCTACATTGTCTGCTTTTAACACACCACAGTTGTTCTTAGATTAAGTAAAATTTGAATTCCCAATCTTAGAAAATGCCAACATCGCACATTTTTCTCTACTTCTTTCTTTACTATTTTCATTTGATATTAATTTCATGCCCTGCAGTGTCTTTCCTAACTCACTGTACCAAACTCGAACCTAACTCACTGTATTATCACTTTTAGGGCCACTCTCACATTTCCTGTATGCCTGGGACTGTGCGTCGATGGAATTACCCACCTCCTCTTTGCATAGGTAATACATACACTGCTCTAACCGATATGTATCTCTGTCTAAAAACACAAGTGTTACAAGCTTATGGTCATATGTTAACAGAGATTAATTTGAATGACTTTCATTTCACATCCATTTTGAAGGTAAGAAATCTGTTTATTTAGGTCATTGATTACATGTCAGTGTGTGGCATTCTGGAAAACAGTGTAATTCTTAACTATGATTTAATTAGTATATTTAATGTCATCGCCTTGAAATCAGATTTAGGGTGATGTAAGCAACTTCTTTACTGACATAGGATCAGTGATAATAGGATCAATATACCTGCTGGGAGCAACAGAATTTTATAACTTGTGCTGAGAGCTAAGATGTCCTAAAATCTGCAATAGTGTTAAGGAATCTTGATAATATTGATGTTTGTGTTTAGGCCTGGATAATTCAGTCCTTGGTGAAAACTTGTAGCAGGTCTGGGAAACCAATTCCAGTTAAACTCCACTTCGACATGTCAGGACTAACTAAAGTTAGCTCTGCCACAACCCCCTCCAGCATGTGTCAAATCCAACATTTCCTATTTCATTCAGAGACTACTGGATCAACCAAATCATGCCCAAAACTGTCAATAGAAGGGGTGCCATAATAAGGTGCCATATATAATTTTAATGTCTGTCACCATTAGACACCATATGGGATTTACAAAAATTCAGCACACATTGTCCAAGCCTCTGTGAAGTCTATATTTGAATTTTCACAGTCTCCTGAGAATTGCTTTACTTCAGTTAACACCAAATGAGTGGACTTATTGACACTTCTCTTTTGATTTCTTTTATTTTATATTTATAGTTTACACCCAATGCACCATACTTGCTACATAGTATTCATGTATCTAACCCTATCTGGTGCCTATAAAGTGAGAATACTAAACAAGTAAAAACAACAAAAAACGCATATTGGCAGTGGCTAATCAAATCAAGTCCATAACTCTAAATACTGTAACGTTTGTTTTCAATATATTGTAGTATTCTAAAACATTATCAATAATACACACACCCAGTGGCCACTTTATTGGGTACACCTGTACAATTGCAATCCAATACAGCTGTTCTGTAGTAAAGTGGATTTTTATGATGCCCACAATATTTTGTTGTTTTATGCTGTCATTTACATGTTTTAGCACTGAGGTCACAGTTACTGGTGATGTTATGCTGGACTGCACCTGAGTTTTTTTCTAATATGACCTCAGTAGTACATAATTGAATGTACACATTTTGACAATGTCACCAAACTGAACATTATAAACTTTGTAAAATTTATGGCAGAGCTGTTGTATTGAATTGCAATCGATTGGTCAGATGTATCTAATAAAGCTATATACTACAAACCCCCCTGTCTCCCTGTAAGGGCGCTCAAATCCCTTTTGTTTCTGCTTGTGGCTGTATTTTCTAACACTTTTGGCTTTTTTGCTGTGGTGTGACCTTCTTCCTGTTGGAGCAGAGGATAAAGTGATGATCTGCACTGTACATTGCTCATGTGTTGCCTGTTTTAACAATGTGTTTGTTCTGTGTTGTCAGCTCGTTGCGGCGGGGTGTTGTCTGAGATGAGTGGTGTCATCCTTAGTCCAGGTTTCCCTGGCAACTACCCCGGAAACTTGGACTGCACCTGGCAAATCACCCTGCCAACTGGATATGGTGAGTATTATGGGATGGAAGAGCATTTCTAAAAAAGAATGTGTCACTTTCAGTTCATCTGTTGGTGTAGCTGGGAAACACAGACCTTTTTTTAGCATGAAATCTGCAGCAGTAACACATGGTTTATCGAAAGCTTCACCACATGTTTAATTGGAGGCTGACACATGGTGTGTGCTGTTTAATGACTACAGGATCTGATGGTTTGAATGGACACAATTTTTATCTTTTGCATGGCATGCATGTCCATGTGTGTAATTATAGCAAGTTTTCAGAAATAATAATAGAATACTTGTTGACAAAACTAGATTCAAGACAGCTTTATTGTCATTGTCTCTTTAGTGTAAGTTGTAATGTAAAAGTACCAAATAAAGATATGGCAATAAAAATAGATGAAAGTGTGAAAAAATGTCAACTGATTGTATGTGGTCTCTCTACCTTTAAGGCGCATTCAAAAAAGATTACAAAATAATGTAAAATCTCAGTAGTTATTCTTGGGTCCATAAAGTTTAGGCCATCTATATGGCATGAAAACAAAGAAAAGTTTGACTATAAAATCACGTATACTGTAATTCTCATATTCTGTTATTATGTTGTATATAGTCTATAATACAGTATATATATATTAAATTTTGTGTTTGTATTCTAGGAGCCCATATTCAGTTTCAAAACTTCTCTTCTGAAGACAACCATGACTTCCTGGAAGTCAGGGCTGGACCGCAGCACAGCTCTTCTCTTATTGGACAGTTTACTGGCTCGCAGATCCCCCCCCCTTTGCTGAGCACAACCCACCTGACAATCATCCACTTCTACAGTGACCACTCAGAGAACAGGGCGGGGTTCAAACTGACCTTTCAGGGTGAGTTCCATTGTGATTTTAGATTAAATAGGATTTGTTTTTAGGGCAATAACTGCAAAGACAAAAGGCTAGAAACCTGAGGTATTACTGCTGGCACTTCCAGTTGAAAGCAGCCCATCCAGGGATGCTGAGGGCAAATTGAACTGTATTCAAATTGAACATACTGCTTCGTTTCTCCAGATCTGGGGTATAAAAGACGAGATGGTTGCTTGAATGTTTTAGGGAGAAAAAAGGTCTCCTCAAATGTCCTGAATAAATTAACATCCAAACCTAGTAGCGAAATTAAAAAGCATTCCCAACTCCAAGAAAATGAAGGGTAGGATGAAAAAACATATTGCTATGAGGTTTTGAGCTTTGATCCATGGATGAGTCATGCTAAAGACTTAAAAAACCTTATGGCTTTCCTCTCATCATTAAAAGAGATGGATTGTTAGTAAGCCCCTGCGAGAGACTGGCATCTTGTCCAGCAGGCTTTACTTGTAGCCCTAAGTGCTTCACTTCAAAGACACAAGAGATGCACTATGGGCCTATGCACCACAACTAGAGCAAGACTTACTAACTTACACATAAGCTAACCCACATTCACATGCATGTAATCGTTTTTCCCTTTTTCTCCCAATTTGCAATGGCCAAGTCCCCAAACACGTCACTCCTTGTCACTGATAACTCCCATTGTTGGTGTGTGGAAGTTGTGGACATGTTTCCACACAGGGAGTAGCACCAGATATCTTTTTTTTTTCAGATCTTTGTTGAGACGATGCATGAGAGGTTTATGATAATTTTGTGTTAACCCATTAAGACCTGTGGCACCCTCTAGAAAAGCATTTTAAAACCTGAGGTACTTTTTGAAAACAACCTCCAACATCCTGAGGGTTTTCTGAAAAACCTAAACCTATATTTCTCAGCCTCTGTAGCAGATAGAAATGTGAAATAAAAAAACATTTGAGAACTTTGTCTTTTATTGGAAATGATTGCCTTTGTCCTCATGTTCATGCACATCAAAAATAATCAATAAACAAAGGAAATTGTTATTATTAATCTTATATTTATTATTATTGCCTCCAGGTCATTGCAAATCTGTCCCTTTTTTAGGGTACATTTGTCTGAAAAAGCTAGTTCTTTTTATTGTTTTATTTCTTTCATTAGTTTCTCCTCACTTGCAGCTGAAAAATGCCCATAGTGACACACATTTGTCCACTTACTGCTGGATGGAGATTTGCCCCGGCTTTGTTACTCATTTGAATTTGTCTCCATCACAACCGACAAACTCGTCGAAATCCTCCTCCTGCTCCTCAAACATGTCTCTCACCCACGGACTCGTGGCTAATGGGTCAGCAGTGTAGCAAACCTAGATTTATGAAAATTAATACCCAATTATGAATTTTAATATTCATAAAATCAACAATATTCCTCGTTTAAGGGCACCACCGGAGTTGTTATAATCCTAGAGTCTCCGGACCTCTAGGTAGTTTTTAATAATTATACAATTATTACTAGTGATCAGTTAATAATCACTCAATTATCTTCAATCAATCAGTCAGTCTCATATCTAAAGGGTCAATTCTCTTGGCAGGGACGTAGAAATAGGCAACACACACAGTTCTTGATTATATTACAGTGAATTTACTCTCTAACTAATGTGATATAAACGGATAAATAAACAATGGCGGCACAATGAGCCTGGAGGTTCGATTGTGGGAAGCATTTGACTCATACGGCATAGGAGAACTAATGAAAGTAAGCTAACGCTATGAGTTTAGGAGTTAAAAGGAAATCTCTGACCACAGAATGTTGGTTAGGTCTTACGGCTTGTCGACGGCCTGCTTTGGCCTGTTGCACAGGTCCCACGCTAGCTTCCCGATCCTGGCTTTTTGCTAGGGATTCTCCGGGGTTCTCCGTGTCTGACTGAAGAAAACGCTGTCCTCCGTCTGGCAATTCGGCTGTTTTCAGGTTTCCTTCATTGCCGCTGGCGAGACCACGTGGCTTTGTCTGACCTCAGTGAAGTTGGCTCGACAAAAAGGCTTAAAATGGAACTTGGTCGTTCCTGAATTAGTCCAGTGTAACTTAACGGACTGCTAACTTTAACAAAACAAAAGAAAGAAAGAAAATAAAACAAACTGAGGGGCAGATCGATGTCGCGGCACTTCATGTGTGTAGCTTCAAGTGAACAAAAGGCCTGTTTCGCTGGCCGACTCTGAGGGCGCCGGACGCGTGCCGAAGCGTCCAGAGAGCAGAGAGCCGAGAGCAGAGAAGAGAAGAGGGGAAGAGCGCGAACGACGTCGCGTGTCGCTCTTTTGTTGTCTGGGGCGTGGTTCCCCAGAGGGCGTTTCAGGTTTCCCGAGGGACTGCCTTTCTAAACTTAATGTCAAAAAGAAAAGAAATCTATTTGCACGTATTATAATTTTCCACAGTCGAACCTCAATGGTCGAATAGTTGTACCGTTCTAAGTTAAGCATTTGGTAACAGGAAACAATTGTCACATTATTGGTCAGGATATTTATTCATTTAACGGCATTTCCAACGATGGTATGTAATACTTATTTCGTCCACTTGGGGGAGCTCAGGTTACATGAGGAAAGCTTAGATTAATCCAAGATCATCTCTCCTTAGGAACCGGGGGATTTAGTTATTCATCCTTAAATTCAAGCAGGCGATTAAGAGTATAGTAAGACATTTCTTTATCATCATTTCTAAAGGAATTTTGTAGGAAAGTATTATGAACAAGCATTGATTACATTAGATGAAGGAGTGTCTTGCTGAAAATAAAAAAACTGCAAAAGTAACTTATTTAGATTCTTTTCAGCACTAATAACAACAGATAGCAACAACATTTTAACATAACTACTCAAATAGAGGTAAACGTAATTAGGTAACTAAAGATTTAATTAAACTTAATTAAATGCTTTGAGTCTTTGGAGACTTAAAGTTCGGCTTCCTGGGTTATGTCACAACTTGGGTGAGACAGGGGTATCCCTTTGATGGGGTAATGAAACACAGCAAGGTCAGTTGCCACAGTTACATGTGTGGGGGGGCCAGTTTTGATAGGCTGTTCAGGGAAATGCTAATCGCTGGTTCGTGTCCCTTTGTCAGTTTAACAGTCAGGCCTCAGCTTCGGAATCAAAAAGGTGCCAGTTTTACGATCAACTGCCCAGGCATTGCACTTAAAGAAAGCAACTTTGACCCCCCCCTTCTTCTCTGGGAGAGGAGAGAGGAATTTGGAGTAGCTCCAAATTTATTCAATATAATATGCACAAATCCACACCGTTGTTCACTACAGCAGTCACATCATAATCTGGGCCTGAATCTTCTTATCCATTGTTGTTTTGATCCTCAAAGCAACTGCTGTAATCGGCGTAAATGTCGCTCCCTTCGCTCAGCTCATCAGCAACGATGAGATAAAAATGATGACATCTACTAAATCGGCCAAACGTCGCATCCGGCCTTAAAGGTAGAAGCATGCATGCGTTGCAGCAGGTCGCAAAGGTTGCTAATATGTGATACCAGTTTTAATGTTTGACACATTGCAGCTTCTTGGTTGTAGTTTCACTCTTGCAAGTACTAGTAGAAGAGGCGTAGAGCCACAAGGGGGGTCGTGGATGTTGAGCGGACCTAAAGTTGCATGAATATGATTTATGTGGTGATATACAAACAAAAGTGCTCTGATGCTAGCAAGTCTGTTTTGCTCACCTGAATCTTGTTTATTTCAATTGCATTTATTGTTAATGATTGATAAAAATTAAATCCACTTTTGCTGGTGTGAGGGGACATGAACTTTTTTTGACTTCTGAAGGGGGGCGTGGTGTGAAATGTTTGAGAACCATTGGTCTAGCCCATAATCTGTGGCAACATATGTGTTCCTGTACACATCCCATGCTTTGATTGTGTGTGCAGTTCCCTCTTAGATGTTAGATCTTGCTGCTACCAGCATAAACTGTCTCTGAAGCCTCGTTCCACAATCTGCACCTCGGGTGTTGGCTAGTGCTGCAGTGTGTATTGACCTGCTGCTCAGTGCTTGTTCTTTTGTGTGCTGTGAGGTTCTGTCCTTCTCTCTAGCCTTTTCTAGGAACTGGTCAGCCCCCTCTGCTCACTGTAAATGGCACATCTAATGGAGGGGCTTGACTTGCCATTGACACTCATGCAGAGTGAGATGTTCCCTAAATAGACCTGTGATACTAACATCCCCTCAAGCAAGTGCTGGCATGTCATGCATACATGTCCATAAAGTCCATTAGCTGTAGACTGAATACATAGTTTGAATACAGTGAATTGCAGTTGTCATTTTGTAGTCACATTTTAAAAGGCTACTGTGTAAGACTACACAATAGAATACAAAGGGGCAAATACTGTATACAGCCACACTGTATTTATTAATAGAGTATAACTGTATGCCTGCTTATCTAGTTTGCCTGGCTTATTTTATTTTCCTGATGCCTAAAAATGAAGGTGTTTCTGCACTGACAGTCATTCTCTTCATCTCTCCTTAGCCTATCAACTTCAGAATTGCCAGGACCCCTTTCCTTTCCCCAACGGCGACATCATAAACAGTGACTACAGCGCTGGCCAATCAGTAACTTTTCAGTGCTACCCTGGTTATGTTTTGATCGGACACCCAGTGTTAACTTGCTTGCACGGGACCAACCGGAAGTGGAACCACCCATTTCCACGCTGTGAAGGTAAGAACAACCAATGACTTCTAAAATGTAATTTTCTCCTATAGGCAGTTCATCTAGTATTGTGTGGACACATGTGGTGTTATCATTGTTATCCCAGAACATCTCCATCACTCACATACCAAATGTAATTTAAAATCTAGACATTTAGTAAATGTTGTTATCCTAATTGAATTTCAGTAAGTTTATTCTCATCTTTCATCAGTATCAGAAGCTGGCAGTGTGAGCAGTTAAGTAGAGAGTAAACATTTCTGTGTCACTTGGATCATTTACTCCATACATTAGTAGCACAATCCATGCTCTTATTACTAATGCTACTACTGCTGCTTCTACTTGTACTACCACAAATAATGTTGATAATTATATTCCTCACTGACTGCAGCTGAACAGTTATTCTTATCTCCTGATCATTGCAGGTCTAGCACATTAGAAAAAAGTGACACATTTGCAAATAGATAATCTTATACGTCTGCTTTTTACAGCTCCCTGCGGTTATAATGTCACGGCCGAAAATGGGACCATCTATTCACCTCAGTACCCCAATGAATACCCCAACTCCCAAGACTGTAGCTGGCTCATCACTGTTCCCCACGGACATGGAGTTTATATCAACTTTACCTTATTGCAGACAGAGCCTGTCACTGATTACATCGCTGTCTGGTAAGTCTGGGTACACTCACACTCTCTCTCTCTCACACACACACACACACACACACACACACAAATGCATATGCTTCTTTTCAATGTTGCCCTTTATCCTGGGACTGATTGCATCACTGCCAGGTAAGTCTTGAATGTACTTATAGCCTGTCTCCTCTCTGCACATTAATAAGAAGATACTGAAGTTGTATCAATTTATACTTATATTTTTTGTCCATCTCTTTCTCTCCCACTCGCACACACTTACATTCTCTCACACAGACATTTGGGGATAAATTTTATTGGTGGCAACTTTATCCCTGGGATTAATTGCAATTTTACTCATTACATATTTTATACAAACACAGTCTTGCCTCTATAAAGGTAGATATCATTATGAGTCAATTGTTTGTGACTTTGTCATACAGGAAGAAATACACACAAATCCATATTGATCTGCAAATGGCATGCTTGATACACAGGGGTTACTGCTTCATAGACTGCTGATACATGCACACATATATACACTGTGCTATGCATACACTGACTCTCCTGCAGCAATAATGGGATTCAGTGTGGAGGTAAGATTGTTATACAGGGAATGTGAGAGTAATGCATTTACAATGGGACCACTGACCAATTCAATCTAACTCAGTACCATGGCCATACGCAGACCCAGAGAGGGCTCGGGAACTCTGGCACTAATGATGAGATTCAGTGGGGAGTGGGAAATGTAATGAAAGGAGTGGTGGAGATGGTGGTGGTTCACAAATCCAACGGGACATGGCTGGTTCTGACTAGCTTGGGTCAGTTCAAAAGAAATTTCTCACTCAGTAGTTTCATTTTGCACCATGTTTGCTGTCAAAAATAATACTGAGGAGTGAATTTATTAGGAAGAAAATTAACATAAGAAGTGAGATTTGAACCCTGTCATCATTTGGGATATGTTTGGTTCAGGAAAGAAATATTTGGTGTGTGGGGGTGGTCAGTCTTTAATTTTCAGGCTCAAGAGTCAAGCTCTAGGGAGTGAGCAGTTGAAATGCAGGCAGTGGGAAAGTGACACATTCACGGTCGGTGACTACTCGCTTTCAATCTCACAAGCTACTAGAGCCATGGCTATAGCTATGGGGAGGCGCGACATCAAGTTATTTTGCAGTTGCAAATTGATTTTGGTGATTAATGTGTTTTTGGCACATTTCATGGGCAACAAATTTATAAAATCACATTCATAGATTGTAGGGCACCAAAAGACATCTGTAATGTGAGATTAGTGCATGCATGATGGACTGTTGCACTGCTCAATCTGTATATCTCAAACACATGAATGTATTTGGAAATGACTGGGGGCTGACGCTGAAGAGGGGAGTGCTTTTCTTAGACTCAGTGAGATACTATCTACCTTCCAGGGCCTTAGACACATTTGGAGTGGGTGATCCAAAGGTCTACTGCTGCTGCATTACAACCATGTAAATAGAAGAGTACTGAAACCCGTATCAGTTTGAATAATGAGTATTTATGTTGTTTGTATTAAAAATATAAATACTAAAATGCAATTATTATAATATTTATTTAGATTGTCAGTAGACAGTCTTTAGATTTGATTTGATTAATAGATGTATCCAAAGTGTCTAAAATTAATGACTAATTTAAATATTATAGATTTTACTAATTAACTAATAACTGCAAACATTCTCCAATAACATATTTGTTTTACTCCAGACAGCTATACTGTAGACAGTAATGTCAGCACAGGGGTAACAATCATAATTGCCTTCTACGTAGTTGTTGTCAGTTAGATCAAAGGTTGTTGCATCAGTGACCCTGACCACCTTTCTTTTTAACAGAGATGCGCACACTGCTCATCTGTGTTTCAGCAGATCTTATATTCTTTTTTTTTTTTGACTTTGACTTGCTCAGACAGAAACAAATGTGCTTTTCATGTCAAAGGTTAGAGCAATGTGAGAGGTACAAGGAGTTGACAGTGAATTAATGGCCTATATCCTATTTCGATCATGAACACAGACCTCCTGAAACTTTTTTTAATGATGTAGTTTATATTTGGAATACTTTTAATTATGTGCATCAGCAGCGAGCTGTTAATAAATTGGATAACTGACATTATCTCATTTTACTCATAAGAGCTTAGGATTGGGGCCACTGCTTTTGTCATGATTTGGCCATTTGACTGTTTGAATTGATGAATTCAATTGGACAGAGAGCGGGAAGAGACTCAGTATGCCCTGTGTACACTGCTGGGTTAATAAGAAATTGAGCATAATTTCAATTAAATACAGAACTTTAAATGCTTAACTTTAAGGGTTTGATCCCAAAATGAGTCAGACCAAAGCACACCTATTATTGATGAAAATGAAATTTACATTCAAAAGCATTTGGCCAAGTGTTGTGTTTTTCACATAGATACTGTACATATAAAAGGTGTGTGCTACAAAAGCTGAGCAATGAACGTGAGAGGACATACAGATTAATGTGTTCATAGATAATTGCTTTAGTTCAGGCTGAGCATTGAATTTGTGCAGTGCCATCAGTAACAGCTGACTCTTCAATCACCAGTCACATTCAAAAAAGTCAATGAGGTGGTTTTTCTATGATCTGAGGAGCCTACCCTTTCCCGTTTCTGATCATTCATTCTACCGCACCTGACAGTGGTTATGCTGATTTCCAGCCTCATCCTGTTCTGGTTTCTAATTAATCAAACTCGCAAGGGATGTCTTTTGCCTTGTGCATTACTATGTCCTGTATATTCCATATCTCAGTGATGCGTGTCTGCTGATTTCTGCCCTGTATACCCCTGGGGTTTATGTGACTGCGACTGCATCCAGATGTCAGAAACTGAAGCCAAACTGTCTCTATAGTTTGCCACCAGTTGTGTTTGGCTTATTGCCTAATATCACTGAAGCATTTCTAACAGCGGGCTATAGATCTAACACCAGAGCAACACAGAGTTTATGATGCCGTATACTCACTCAACAAAATCAAATACAGTATTTTCTAAAATCTTGTTAAACAATGTAGATTTTTTTTTGTCTACCGTTGCTGCTTTGGTATAATATTTAATCTATCCTAGTGCTGGATCTCTGAGGAAAAAAACAATGTAGAAATTATGAATTTGTATAATAATGAATTGTTTATTTCACTCTGTAAGAAAATGCTGTATAGTTGATACAAGCTCAAACAATTATAGCATTCAGCTATTATGCAGCCTTTCAGAACAGGAAGAGAGAACATTTAACATACATCACAATATTTTAATAAACAACGTTCCCGAATATCTATTCTCATATCACAGCATTGCCTTTTTATCAACATACTGTCTCTTCTAAACGATTTTCACTTGGCAATTTTACATATCCAGCATAAAAACATCAGTTTACTTTCAAGGAGAGGCAACCTCACCTCACTGTTCAAGTTAGATTCCCCCTACACAGCTGTTTCTGTTTCAGTTAATGATTAGGTTTCAACCTACATGTTTAATTGGTGATCAAACCTAAAACCTATCACACCAAAGCCTTTTGCACAATACAATAGTGTAAATACAGCCCCCAAATATGAAAATGTTTTAACATAACAGATAATTTTAAAGTTTGTGTATTTTTCAGTAAGTAAAAATAGTCTCAAAATTATAAATCAGTTTTGATTCAAATGACCAAAATAGCACATTTTGATTCTCCAAATGAGCTCCAACACCTACAGAAGACCTTGAATTATTGAAGAGCCAAGAGATCCCAGGCACTCTTTGAATTAAAATTTAAAAACCCTTGTTTAATCTGATGGCATGTTCATTAAAAACCTAAAACTGGGCATTTAGAAACTTTAGAAAGAGTAACCTTTCAACAACATTCAATATTTAATGAATTAAGTTAAGCATTTAATCTATGGGCTTTGTTCAATGAACATGTTTGAAATGGGTGAAAAATATGTTTTGCTTCCCTTTCAGTGAACAAGTGGACTTTTGTTAACAAAGGCTGTTCAGGGCTCAACGTTAAACTTGAAACTTACTGGCCCGAAGACAATTTTTACTGTCTCTCCTTCCAAAAGTGTTTAATCGTTTATTAAATACATCCTGGATATAAAAAAACTAAACAAAAATGTAATCACAGTTAAAATTATAAAAATAAAAAGGTTAACAAAACAATTTACTTTTAAAACAAAACATACTAACAGCCATTTATGAAAAATGTACATAGAGTAGCGGACACAAATCGCCTCTATCCTGATGAACAGGTTCCCTGTCAATCACAAGGTAGTCCCGTCCAAAAGCATGCGCTGCTTTATTGTCTATTTTCCCCTAAATAGGACCATAATATACTAAATGAACATCATGCTGTGTTGAAGAAGACTCATTTAAAAGTGTTTACTGAGGTAATAAATCAGCTGAGAAGTAGCAACATTTTACCATTATTTATATGTGTATCCAGTAACCTGGGAAATATATTCTGCAACATCATTAATAAATAATAAAAAATTATTAATAAAACTTTTTTTTTTTGCCAAATTGCCACACAACGGACCATATATTTACCCTCCAGACTTTAATTGATCAAGAATTAAACATTAAGAAAAGAAAGGTATATGCCTGTTTTGTTGACTTCCAAAAAGCCTTTGATTCCATCTGGCACAAGGGCCTTTTCTATTGGCTACTGGCACTGGAGGAAAAACATATGATTTGATTAAGAACATGTATACAAAAAGTGAATGTGCCATAAAGATTGGAAACAAACAAACGGCGTTCTTCTCCCAGGGCCGGGGAGTGAGGCAGGGATGCAATCTCAGTTCAATTCTCTTCAACCTATATATCAATGAATTAGCAAACCAATTAGAGAGTTCCACGGCACCTGGCCTCACCCTGAACGACACAGAGATCAGAGGTCTGCTGTATGCAGATAATAATAATAATAATAATAATAAAATGAATTTGTATAGCGCTTTTCACGAACTCAAAGTCGCTTGACTTAGTGTTGCTCTCACCTACTAAAGAAGGTTTGCAGCAGCACCTTAACCTCCTACAGAGATTCTGTCAGACCTGGGCCCTGACAGTAAACACAGCAAAGACTAAGATAATGATCTTTCAGAAACAATACAGAAATCAGGTTACACACAATTTCTATTTAGACACCACTAAATTACAATACACAAAAAACTACACTTACCTTGGCACAGGGAACTTCAACATGGCTGTGAAAGATCTGAGGGACAAAGCAAGGAGAGCTTTCTATGCAATAAAAATAAACATTAAAATCTATATTCCAATTGAAATCTGGCTTAAAATTTTCCAATTTGTACTAGAACCAATAATTCTATATGGTAGCGAAATTTGGGAGCCAAAACTAAATAATGAATTTGACAAATGGGACAAAACAATCATAGAATCTTTCTATGATCCTGCATGTGCAGAGAAAAACACCAAATAACCTGTGCAGAGCAGAGCTTCGCCAATAACCCCTCTTACTAAAAATACAGAAAAGATCACTTAAATTTTACAATCACTTAAAATCAGGTAACCCTCAGACGTATCATCACAAAGCCCTAACTTACCCGGAGCTGAAACCAGAGAAGAGTCCCCTCAGCCAGCTGGTCCTGAGGCTCTCTGCAGTCAACAAGTCAACAAGTCCCCAACAGCCTCAGGACAGCAACACCAACTCAAGCAGACCAAACCAAATTATCAGTAAGCAGAAAGAAAAATATATTGAATACTGGAAAGAAACGACCAAAACACAAAGTAAATTACAATGTTATCTGACCCTAAAAAGAAAATTCACACTGGCAAATTACCTGAATACAATAAAATGTCCTAAACTAAGAAAAATGTTGACAACATACAGACTGAGTGAACACCGCCTGGCCATAGAAAAGGATGGCCACAGACAGAGCAGGCTACCACAAGAGGAGAGACTCTGCTCCCAGTGTGACAGAGCTGCACTTTCTAACCTCATGCCCCAAATATAAAACACTAAGACAAAAACACTTTGCAAACATTTCCCAAATATGCCCTGAATTTGAATTCATATCAGAAACACAGAAACTCCCCTATTTACTGGGAGAAATGCCCAAATGTGAAATAATTGCTGCAAACTATGTCTCCTCATGCCATGAAGTGAGGACAACCAGTGGAACCTCAGACTGATAAATAATTGTACAAATTTTCAAATTATTATTATTATTTTGATCGTTTGATATTTTAGTAATTGTTTTGTTTTTACATTTAATACTGATTTCTTTTTTTAAATGTATTATTATTATTATTTTTTAATCAATTAATTTTGTTTTTTAATTTTTGAAATATACACACACACGTTACAGTTTTATTTATTTATTTTATTTAAATTTTTTAACATACACACACGCTTACTGTTTTATTTATTTATTTTATTAAATTTTTTTATGTATTCTTGTTTTTTTAACACACACACACGCTTACTGTTTTATTTATTTATTTATTTTATTTTTAATATATTTAAATTTTTTTAACACACACACACGCTTACTGTTTCATTTATTTATTTGATTTTTTATATATTTGTTTTAAACACACACACACACACGCTTTGATTACTTTACATCACATTAATTAATTACTTAATGAAATGTATGGGGTTGATTGTTCTTATGTAGTTTGTATGATGCTTTGACAATATTGTTGTTACACATTCTTGCCAATAAAGCTAATTTGAATTGAATTGAATTGAGAATGCAGCTTTAAGTTCCGTCTGCATGGTTTCACTTCAGACCCAGAAGTTGCCGCATGATTGAGATTAGAGAGATAACATTTGACAACTTCTTGTCACGTAAGTACATCTCTGGATTGGACATCAGTGTGTGTCAAGAGCTGCAAAACAACTGCAAGATTTTTTTTAAATACTAATGTTGATCGGGCTAGTGAGTAGCTAGTTCAACTGTCCCAACGTTACATTACATACATCCCGACGAGCATCGGGCCACCGTTACTGTCGAGCCCGGCTGTTTATGGTTTGTCATTAAATCCAGTCAGTGAAAGCAAATCCACAACTAGCATTTCAAAAGAAGTTCATACTGCGTCCAACCCTTGACCTTCTTTTAGAGCCATGGCAGACACATGTCACACCAGTTTATTCACTGTGAATTTAGTAATCAAATCACACCTGTATTTAGCCATTTTAGTTTTTATTATGGGTAAGTAAGTTTAACCTGGGCAGATACAGTGCAGGATGCAAAAATAAGAGAAACAGTTTACTCTATGTCAGGGGTTTTCAAAGTGTGAGGCGGGCCTCCCTAGGGGGGCTCCAAACAGTTTCAGGGGAGGCTCAGTGAATGGGAGTGAAACAATATTACATTATTGCATTAGTTATCAAAAGGAGATCACATAGAATAGCCTACATGTGTGAGAGTTCAGAGATATAGTTTTTGGGAACTGTCCCCCCCCCCCCCCCCATCAGAGCCAGAAACTAATAAATGCCCAGAACTTTGTTAAAAACTATTTGGTGTAGTCTGAAGTTATGTCAAACAGCAACATTAGGTTATTTTGGCTCAAATGTTGAGCGAAACTTACCAAGTAAACTAAAGATGTGGTGGGGGGAGGCCCGCAGTCTCAGACTATTAAAACCCCTGCTCTATGTCATATGCATTGTGTCCTATAACTTTCACTCAACTATCATGTGACTCTTGGTTTCTCTCTCCCCATTCCTCTGCTGCAGTAGTTTAGATGTACCCTGCTTCCAGTTTAAGCATCACCAGTTGTCTTTGTTGTCTCTCACTCTCTGTTTATTTAGGGATGGGCCAGATACGTCTAGTCCTCAGCTGGGAGTCTTCAGTGGCAACACGGCATTAGAGTCGGCTTACAGTACTAGCCTGAAGGTCCTGATCCGCTTTCACTCTGACTTTTCAACTGGAGGGTTCTTCATTCTCAACTTTCATGGTACAGATACACACACACACACACACACACACACACACACACACACACACACACACACACACACACATTTACCTGCAGTATAGATACCCTCTTATATATGTGTGCAGCAAATACTCTGGATATAGGAAAAAGTAAGTATAAGTACCATGATTTTTTTCAGTGCCAGAACTTGGGACTAAAGGTTTATGCATAAAAGTGAATTTTGTTTTTGCATTTCTATAGTCCCCTGCAAAAGACATTTGGGTTTAAGATCAAAAGAATTAAGAATTTCAGCTCTCATTTCCTGGTATTCACATCTAGATGTGTTAAACAACTTAGGACATATCACCATTTGTATTAGACCACAGCATTCTTAGGTGGGCAAAAGTAATGGAACAAATAATCTTCAAGTAAATAACATTTAATATTTAGTGGCATAACCCTTGCTGCAATAACTGCCTCAAGCCTGCGACCCATCGACATCACCAAACTGTTGCATTCTTCATTTGCGATGCTATTCCAGGCTTTTACCGCAGCTTCTTTCAGTTCTTGTTTGTTTCGGGGTGTTTCTCCCTTCAGTCTCCTCTTAAGATTGTGAAATGCATGCTCTATTGGGTTAAGGTCAGGTGATTGATTTGGCCCCCCCCGATGAAGTCCTTTGTTTTGTTGGCAGTGTGCTTGCGGTCATTGTCCTGCTGCAAGATAAACTTCCTCCCGATTAGTTTCAATGCATTTCTCCGTAAATTGGCAGACAAAATGTTTCTGTACACTTCTGAATTAATTCCGCTGCTACCATCATCAGTTACATCATCAATAAATATTAATGAGCCTGTTCCAGAAGCAGCCATGCACACCCAAGCCATGACATTACCTCCACCGTGCTTCATAGATGCGCTTGTATGCTTCAGATCATAAGCAGTTCCTTTCTTTCTCCACACTTTGGCCTTTCCATCACTTTGGTAGAGATTAATCTTGGTCTCATCAGTCCATAAGATTGTGTTGCAGAACTTTTGCGGCTCATCTCTGTACTTCTTTGCAAATTTCAATCTGGCCTTCCAATTCTTACTGCTGATGAGTGGTTTGCATCTTGTGGTGTGACCTCTATATTTCTGCTCTCTGAGTCTTCTTCCAACAGTGGATTGTGATACCTTCACTCCTGCACTGTGGAGGTCGTTGGTGATGTGACTTGCTGATGTTTTGGGGGTTTTCTTCACAGCTCTCACAATATTTCTGTCATCAACTACTGTTTTCCTTGGCAGACCTGTTCGACGTCTGTTGCTCAGTACACCAGTAGTTTCTTTCTTTTTCAGGACATTCCAAATTGTTGTGCTTGCTATGTCCAATGTTTGTCCAATGGCTCTGGTCGATTTTCCTTATTTTCTCAGCTTGACAATGGCTTGCTTTTCTCCCATAGACAGCTCTCTGGTCTTCATGTTGGTTTATTGTCTTTAACAGGAAATGCAGTCTTTATAGGTTTGAACCAAGGATGAAAACTTAGGCTAGTCATGCAGAGCTATTTAATGTTTTGACAATCAACCTAAAAGGCAACACCTGGGCAACAATAAACATCTGTTCACAATAGTTTTGCTCACTTGAAAAATGGGTGGGTTCAAACAAAGGGTCATATGTCCTGAGTGGTTTAACACATCTAGATGTGAATACCAGGAAATGAGAGCTGAAACTCTTTTGATCTTAAACCCAAATGTCTTCAGTGAACAACAAAAACAAAGGAATTTGCCTTACCGTTCCAATACTTTTGGAGGGGACTGTACATGCCATCTACATTTACAGATACCAAACTAATTTCTCTTTAACTTTATTAAAAAATGTATATAGTCTTAGCATGAGTGTGTGTAGTGCTTCGCAGTAACCACAGTACTTAATTTGTAAATCAGGATGTCCTGGAACACAGAAAGGGTGCTGTTCCTGTTCACATTGGACAACGCTACATTCTAGCTGTTAAAAATAAGCAAAACAAAACTGTCATCACAAACAAAGCATTATTTATTTACATTTATTTTTCAGAGCATTCACAATTGTCACTCAAAGTCAGCACAGGAGGCACGTAGAAACAGCTGCAGCTCTCTCTCTCTGATTGATTATCCCTTCACATCCCTGTCGTGTCCCTTCTGTAGATTGCTGATAAAATGGGGGATAATTGAAATATGTCTTTCTACTCCGTTTCAGTACTATGAAACTACACAAAGAGATCCTACCCTAATTTAGCCATACTCATTTCACCGTTTCACAGCCCAAACACCCACTTGGCTGTGGGGCTTACAGTAATAACATACTAAAAAGCACCACTTGCCACCATACAGTTCATTGGCCTGATGCATTAATCATTATCATTATCAAACTCATCATCAACAATACACAGCAGATCATAGTCATAAAAAACGCGTGCTGACCCAACTGTTTAATTGTCCAAAACAGCCCACAAACCAGCCATGGAGTCCCCTGACTCCTTTTCTTTGCTTCTTACTTTAATCCTACCTGTGCAGCTATTATCACCACCTGGCTACTGGTTTGAAAAAATTTATCAAATTTAATATTTCACATTGTACCAGTTTCCTCCTTATTGCTGAGGGTATCCTAATTCAAATTGCAGTAACATTAAGTGCACAGAACTCATACACTTCAGGCGTCACTGCGTGACATGTCCCGATCCAGCTTTTTTAAGTCAGATTTTAAATTCTTCAAAAATAGCGATTTACGAATAACTTAAATGGTAAATAAAATAATGAGAACAGATAACATTAAATATTACACAAAATTTATTTATAGATTTTATAGCGACAAAATAGCTGCCAGATCCAATCAAATAGGTTCTGGTCCTAATCCTGTTCCGGCAGGTACACAAACATTAAGCCATAGCTATAAGACATGACGTCGGAGGCCTTTTTACACTAAATAAACAAAAGTACTGAGAGATGCTAGAGCTTTTTTTTTTCTTTCACTCTTTTCTTTGGTTTTCTCCATTACTCAGTACTATTCACAATTTTTAAGGAGTCTATATCTCTGAATAGGTCCATCTCACAGTCTTTCAGTGATGTGTTTTACATCAACAGGCAACATTTTCTGAGTAATCACTGGTAATGTGTGCACTAGAAGGTAGCTTTTGTTACCGGGGCTCTAAAGTTTTGTTACATTGAAACAGCCCCAGTGTCTAAGGGTACAATCCTACACCTTGTTCCTCAGGGCTTGCATTGTTTTCTTTAAGCTCAAACAACTGTTTTTCTGTATAGCATACTGTTAAGGGGTGTATGATATGTATTGTCTGCGATAACATCTTAATTGTTGTTTTAACGATGTGTGTGCAGACATTATTGGCATTACGTAACTCACTTTGAAAAAAACACCTTTACTGCCATGCCTCGTGCATGCAGTACAAGCTGAATAATTAATGACTGAAGTTAAAAATGACTGATCATGCAGCGCAGGAGATAAAATACTGACAACACTAGCCTCGCAATCTAAGAATTACTATTGAGTTGCTAGACATGGATCAACCTAACTCGACAGATGTTGCTCGAAAACGTCAGTCTGCAAACTATGTTGAAAATCGGTTGCTGTTAAAGACCACGAACTAACCACCACACAGAATATCAAGCATATGAAAAGCTTTGCAACTCAGCTGTCCACGACAGGCCTAAACCTAATCCAAGGTACTAGCACAAAACAAACTCCAGTTCAAGAACCGTTACAGTGATGATGACCGAATCAAAGCCACAAGACAACAGCTATGACAGAAATCACAGTTTACTCATACTTGCACTGTTTGATTTCAGTAATACTTACATTGATGATTTGAGTGTTTTCATATTGCTTGAATGCTTCAGTTTTAAATAAATAAACAAGGCATGTTTCCATGAATGTCATTAACAAGCAAAACTTTTTATCCTATTAACTAGAGCAAGCTAGTACAATATTAGATTTTTACAAACACACTTTCAAAGGATGCAAAATATCGTCTAATTATCATTACCAACAAAATTGACCCAAAAAATTTAAATAACATTTTTGTCAATATCGCACACCCCTAATATAAAAAGTGAGTAAAACTTACAAGAGTGATGAAGCAAGCAGTCCAGGATATAAAAATATCCTGCAGAAAATCCAAAGGTAATCCAAAACATGACAGAAATAAACAATAACTGACATAAAGACAAGAACACAAGAAGAATACAGAGGAAGTAAGTAAACACAGACACATAAGGGAGGAAAGATCTTAATAAAACCGGAAATACAATATAACAAAACCAAAACCATAACACAAACTACCTACACATATGTTTAGAATATTATTTAAATACTACCTGAATCTTCAGTTACCGTTCTTTTCTCATTGTTCTGAAGTTCTTGCAGAGTTTGACACTGTTGTTCATTTATAAATTAAATCATGTAGTGTTTCTTTAAAAACACAAACTGGGAAATTGTGCGGATATCAAAGTCGTATTCCCTAAAACACCATGATACAAGCAAGAGACAAGGTAGTGGCTGCCCTTAAATACTTATCTGGATATTTTAAATAATAAAGATCACACCCACTGTCCCATTCTCCACATCCATGAGGTTTGTGATTTCTTTCCAAAGAGACAACAGCGACAGACACACTATCACAAATCCCCCACATTCTTATTACAAATGGAAAGATATGTTGATGCTGTAGAGGTCTTTGTTTTGTTTTTCAGCTGAAATCTAAGGTGACTTATTAATAGTTTTTGCACCTCTCTTCAGCCTACCGTTTGAAGAAATGCCCTCTTCCCCCTGTTGTGGAAAATGCAGAGGTGATCTATGAAGATGAAGACTTCCAGATAGGTAATAATCCTGATTAACAATGATATGACCGTTTGATACAATATGAAAGTGCTGCTGTTGCACCGATTTACTGTTAAAGAAACTGACAGTAAAATTTGGCTCATTTAGTAAATTTTTTTAATGACATTGTTTTGTACATTCTTCAAAATTGGAAGCATTTTCAACTTTATCTAGTTTAGGACATCTCAATCAAAACGACTCATACCTGACAGGACTGACAATCTGATCAGGCTTGTAGGAGGTCATTATTCTGCTGATTGTTAATTACTCCACTAATGGCCCCACATGACTTTCCAAATGCACAGTAGTAAAATTCATTCACTGTGCGTGCATGTGTGCATTTTTTTTAAATATAATCACTCAAGTAAAATTACATTTATAATCACTGTTGATTATAAATGATAACATCAATCAGTCAACATTGGCAACCAAGAATATGATGGCTGGTAACCACAGTGGCAACCTGTTAAAACCACCGTGAGTAGATGAATATGCTACAAAGAATCACAAAGAGATGAGAAGGTTATACAAAATATTTTCTTTCTCTAATCATTCTTACATTTTTCTGTGAAATACTGGATATTTTTACCTCTTTGGGTCTCCAAAAAATCTACTAATTTGTTTTCTTACTCTTAACTGACAAGATCTATGTCAGTTACATCACTTTGCACCCTTTTCAGTGATTATCTTAGCATATAGGTATATATATATACATATATAATAAAAATGGTGAACTGGTGAAATGCAACACTGAGTACATTATGTGCCCCCAAGGTTTTGAAAAACATCCATTTTAGGAGAAATAATCGCTTGTCAAGTTTTCCATTTTCCCTCAGCTCTGTGTTATGTGATTTGCTCAAATCATCTTACTCTTAGGTTTGGTGACCTTTTAGAGCAACAAGAAAAAAGCAGACATTTCAGAAAACCTCAAGCAAGATCAGTTTACCTTGCCACTGGTATGCATAGCTTAGTCGCTTCTGGCAATGTATAATAAGTTCTCTGCAGAAAACATACATATCAAAATGTCAACATTTTATGATTTCAGAAAAAGTCAGTAGATTTTTGAATGATTTGTTGATTTTGGGGATTTTTTGCTTTTGACCTTTTAAAGACATAATACATTAGTGAAATTCCAGGTTCAAGAAAGACTTCATCAGCCTTTCTATAAATACAGAAAAATTGTCATTAGATACAATGTTCCTAACAGGATGCAGACAAATACAATAGTGACCCAGAGCATGTACTTCTTCAAAGTGTTGATTTATAACAATGATGTCAAATTATTGCCACTTGCAACCCCACCACAGCAGCACCAGGCCTGTACCTCTTCACAGCAAGAGTGAAGCAATTCTCTGTGACACAGTAAAGACCAAAGGGAGTTAGTTTGAGATAATCATACATAGAAATCTCACAAGCCCTCAGAACATTGGAGTGCTTGTACTGTGAATTTCACATTCACAAAACCTGGCAGAATAGAGTACCTCAAAGACATCACTAGCTTTGTTGTCGGTCAGTCTAATAGCCAATTATACAATCTTTGAAGAAGCTCAAGGAAAGGTTGAATGTTCTTGTTTGTTCTGTTCAGCAGTTTTAAACATCATGGCCCATGCTCTGAGCTTGCACACTGTATGCCTTCTGGGCAGAGTTTGAAGCATGCATTACATCTCTCTGACAGTTGGTAGATCTCCATCTCTTTTAAAATAACAAGCCTGTCAAACGTTGCCTCTCAAAATGGAGCAACATAATTAACGTCAACTATTTTGGATTTCTCTACTTGCAAAATAAACAGCTAAAAGCCCAGGTTATTGGTTGCTGTAATTGTTCTCACTGTCCATACTAGCTGTAAAGAAATCCCTGCCTAGCACTAATCTAATATAATGGTGGAGACAAAATCCACAGTCTATGTTCCATTCAACAATGTACTCTAAAGTTTAGACAAGCAATTTTAGGCTATATTTCCAACATCTTTTTAGTATGAAATATCCTGGGGTATGTGAGTAGTAATATAAAACTTTTAATATTTGTGCAGGGATTTTTACTTGTGCTGTCATGAAGACCCAACTCTGCAGAAACACTTAATAGAAGTTTTATTTATTTCCTGTGGTAGGTGATATTGTGAAGTACCGCTGTTTACCTGGATACACATTGGTCGGAAAGGCAGAGCTTATGTGTAAACTCAATTCCCATTTGCTTTTTGAAGCCCCGCCCCCAACATGCCAAGGTAAGGCAACACTCCCAAACACTATACACAATACACTGCATACGCTATGTGCATGTCAGTGTGAAATTCAGATGGTGATGCTTTATGGTTTGAGTCTATAGTTAACTGAAGTTGTGTCATGTAAAAATGTTCTCCAAATAAATGTATCCTTACAACTAAGCTTATCAAATTATACTTTACCAATCTTTGATCTATAGTTCATGTTGGAGCATTTCTCTGATGTTAGCATTTATGGTTTCAATAGCAAATAATCATTCAAATTGTCTTGTTAAACTGAATTTACTGTATATAGGACATGAATTATAAGCTGATATTAATGTGTAAAATTGGGGGAGGTCCCTTTCAATCAATTATTTAGAAAATATATTTAAAGAGGTGGTATTATGGTTTTTGGCTTTTTCCCTCTCCTTTATTGAGTTATATACCTTTTTTGTGCATGTAATAGGTTTGCAAAGTCCACCCCAAAGGGAGTTCCCATCTCCCACAGAAAATACTGCTCTGAACTGCTTGAAAACAGCTCGTTTGTAGTCCAGCCTTTACTTCCCTTTCTTGTGACGTCACAATGAAAATACGTGTCATAATGCTCGCCTAACGACTAGACGACACGCCCTCAACACTGAGCACACCTCTCCTCTCCTTTCCAAACACTAGCTACCCTCATCATTTAGAGACAAGATGTATCCTCCATAGCTAAAACAAAGCCTTCAACACAGGGTGAAAAGAGGAGCTGCAGCAATGTGCAGTATGAAAAAAATGTGTTTTTTTGAAAATTAAACCATGTAAACCTGTTTTGGTACAACCCCTAAATAGGATTTTGAACCTGAAACCTGAGCATAATACCACCTCTTTAATATCACCTCTTTTCACCTCTTAGCACCCATTGTTCCATAGCATTTATATTCGACAGTGAATCACATAAAGTGATGGTTATATTATCACACATTTGATGATGAAGATGAAGGTAATTTTATCTCATCAGGGTCTTGAGTCATTTTTCACCAAAGAAATGAGTTTTAATGCAAAATGGGGGTAAATAAATAGATTAAAGAAGATATATAGTGCTCAAACAAATGTGGCCTTAATTACCGACATTGCATCTAGAAAAAAAGTTGTGTTTTGAGCAAATGGTGCAATACTTCTTACTAAAACCCAGCTATGTAAAAGCAGCACAGCATCATTTCCAGTGGTTTGTCACATGTCATTTTTGGAAATGTTAGCAAATTCCTGACTGAAGTACAGTAGCCTTTTTACACAGGCAAACATTTTGGCAAAAAATATCTTAAACTTTTTCAAACATTTGAAAACTATACAAAAACCTGCTGCTCTTTAACCCAAAACCCCATCTTCCTTTTCCAATGACTGTATTTCTGTCATAGGTAACACGTGTTATTGTAATAAAGCCGGAAAAGTGTAGCAAAGTTCGAAGGAGCTACCGGCTGCTGCATCTACACGCGCTGCCGGTTATGTAATGTTACACCATTGGTACTGACAGTTTATCATCATCCAACAGTCCTAGTGTTGTGTGTTGAAAATGTTAGATAGAAAACTTATGTGAACCTATTCCACTTTTTCATTTCCTTATATTACTCAAAAGTTGTTAAATATGTTTATTCAGTGGACATTTGAGTTTTCAGACTGAAGAGATTTCAGGAAAGTTATATTATATAATATTATGTATTTTCATTTAACAGCATTAACGCATCAAAATTAGGACGTTCTGGTAGCTCCTGGTATTTCAATTAGACAACTGAATACTGATTTGAATTTCTATATTGAGAAAAAAGTTTTTTGTGTTTAAGAGATGCTCAGCCTTTGTCATCATGTGGAATGAACAGACTCTCCATTCCATTGTAAAGCAAGTTAATTACTCTTGTAAGAGGACAGGCAACCAAAAGGCTCCCCTGCACAGCTTAGAGTTCAGTTCCTTTGGAATCTTGTTACCTACCAGTCGTCACACAGAAAAATGGGGAGAGGCTTCTAGCGTCTCGCTTGTGCTCAGGAAAAACAATGTACAATGGAATTCAACAAGTAAGGCCCTAAACAAGAACGGAGAGATGGGTGGAAAGGACGCACATTGGGAGAGTTGCTAGAATCCGGAAATATACAAAAAGTCAGAAGAGTTTTCACTTTGTCTTTTCCTCCTCTAGCCCAATGCCCAGCCAATGAGGAGCGGTCATCATCATCAGGAGTGATACTAAGCCCCGGGTTTCCTAGCAACTACCCCAACAGCCAGACATGCTCCTGGCTGCTCCATATGGTTGCAGGTACAGTTTGTGCCGAGGGGGTGCAACCAATACAAGTCTAGACTGCTGTTTATTATGCGTGTGTGTGTGTGTGTGTGTGTGTGTGTGTGTGTGTGATTATATGTTGTGTAGTGTGAGAGACTGTCTGTATGCAGCATTATTGTATGTACAGTACATTTTATGGAATGCTGTTATATGTAAAATACAGGATGTGTCAAAGTGATGCTTACAAGGCAGTGTGTATGTGCATCTGCTCTTTGGTTTGTGCATTTGTCTGTGTGTGTGTGTGTGTGTGTGTGTGTGTGTGTGTGTGTGTGTGGTATACCCTTTCTATATTGCATTTTGCAGGGTTTTGGTTGTGGTTGTAAATAATTTGTTTTGTTTCCTAGGTTACACCATCAATATCTATGTAGAGATGTTCCACAGCGAGAAACAGTTTGATGAACTGGAGATTTTTGATGGTATACAAAGCTTTTCCTCCCTATTTTTGTTACACCTAGATGCACACACACACATACACAAAAGCAGCTTTAATTCATGTTTGTTTATGAAAAGTAGCACAACAGTTAATAAGATGCACAACACTTAATTCTCATTTGTGGTGTTGGAATCTCCGACCATGTTCCATAACACATTATAACCACCGACTCTGCCTCGTTATAAATACACTTTAGTCAACATTTAGAATTAGTGATATAAAATGGAATAATAGCTTATTGTAATGTTTAAAGTTATATAGCATGTCTTTGTTTGCTTTAAGTAAAGTGTTAAAATATCTATCCCTGCATAATATATTACAGGTGGACATAATACCATATGAACTAATTATAAGACCTTATAACACATTGCTTTAAGTAAAGTGACTCACATTTTGCGCAGGAAAACAAATTTTATTTATGTTTCTTCACTTTATGAACAATCTGTATGAATTTTGAACATTTTGCAGTTTAGCACAAAAATACAACATAATTACATCAAGAAAACTCATTCACTTTACTTAAAGCAAACAATTAGGGCTCATGTCCACTAAAGCGCTTTTTTCTGATGCCAGCATCTTTTTTCAGTTAATTCCAATGGGAGAGTTTTTCCAAGCTGGTAAAAACGTCAGGAGTGTGACGAGGCACTGAGCGACTTTTCCGCGCTGGGCAGTTTTTTTCCGGCCGCCGAGAGTTGAAAAATGTTCAACTTTGGGAAAAACGCTGCACTCTTCACTGTCAGTTTTTACCCACCCGTCCAATCACAGTGCAGGAAGGGCCGGACAAACACCGCACCGAGCACATCCGATCTTGAACGAAACCATGTGCCTACTCGCCAAAGTGTTTTCTCGCCTGCAAAATCTCATGAATCCACGTACGGACAGTCTGTGCTCTCATGTTTCAGCCTTCTCTTCATGCAGAGCAAGGGCCAGAGCAAGTTGGCCTACATACTTTGTGGTGACATTTTTGCATCCAGTAAAATTAAGTAGGCTACCCTACTTGCAGCACATCGCCTCCACGGAAATTATGTATCATAGCAACCACAATGTCTCGAAAAAAAACACTGCGCCTCCAAAACGCACCCTAGCGTTCCCAGCTAGGCGTTTTCAGAACATATAACAATTGTTATAATGTCTTATGGACGCATCATGTTATAAATATATGCATAAGTCATTATAGCAATGATCTTCATAGAAAGTGTTACCAGATTTTTAAAATCATGCACAGCTTAGTTTCTAAAACAGCAAACATACATACAAGCCAACAAAACACAAATTAGATCTTACTAGCTTTTGAAATATATCATTTGTATTGGAATCCACTCGCAGGGATGAGCATATATACTGCCAATATGTTTATCTCGCTCAGCTCTGTCTATTTGTATTTATCTTGCCTGGTCCTAAAAAGACTAGCTGCCTTTGATGTTGCTGACAGCAATGGCATCACTGTGGAGTAGATGGCTGTGACTGGAGTTGTTTCTGATTCGCATTGTTGAAAGGAACAGAATTTCAATAGGTGTCAACATTAACTCAGTTTGTCTTTGTAGGCCATTTTAAACGAAACATTTTAAATTAATGGTACATGGCTATATGTAGAAACTCTACAAACTCTAGTGCAAAATAAATTCATAGATGCATGCTGTGTCTTTCTAAACAAGACCACACTTAATCTGAGCTGCAACCACTTGGTTCAGACAATCGGCATGAGCACAGGAGGGGGTTGTGGTCAATAAACCAGAGATTGAGCTAAACAATATGCTTTGATCAGAATACATGTACAACAAGTAATTTGGGTGTTCTAAGCAATTTAATGATGCTGTCACACTCATGTGTTCCATGTCTCAGTAACAATAAAACACATTCTGATTGCAGCATACTGGTCATCGCCGTCTCAGGTTAGGCTAATATTCCTCTGGGAGATTGTAAGATTATTGGAATTTGTGAATTTACTGATGCGGACATGTGAAAGAAGTAATATTTATCAAAGATTATCCCTGTCATGGCCCACCTTTCCCTCCAACACGCATGCAGGCCACTAAATACAATGACATATGATATATACACATGCATAAACATGAGACCATAAAATATACAGCACACTGTACACACAGTTGTTCTGTGTCTCATTCATTTGTTTCTCTAGGATCCTCAGGACAAAGCCCTTTGCTTGTCGCTCTAAGTGGTAACCACTCATCTCAGCTAAACTTCACATCTAAAACAAACCAGCTCTATCTACGATGGTCCACTGACCACGCAACAAACAAGAGAGGATTCAAGATACGATATTCAGGTACATACATTATGTTTCTTTTTCTATCATTCCTTTTGTTGAGTGTTACTCTGCTTATTGTCAGCTAGTAACCATGTTGTCATTAGGAGAATAATATCAGCAAAATAATACCTCAGCCATCTCCTTATCTATTGTAGATGCTTTAAATCTTAAAGCATCTAAATAGATCCTATCTTAAAGCTTAAGATATCATACATGTGTCAGTTTACTGGTCAGTCTAATTTGTTCTCTGCTCTAGGTATTTTTTTTAAATTCAAATTAAATTTAAATATACATTGCTTGCCTTGTCATGAAGGAAAGCTACCTTGTGAGTTTGTTTGAGGCAAGAGGATGAGTGTACCACTATGTCGAGAAAACTGCCAACTGTTTTCTCTGCTTTATCTCTGCTTTCACTCACAGTACATACAATTTTTTACCCGTGCTGCTATGTTGAAAAATCTTTGATTAATGTTGGCTGAAGTGATTTGTCTCTACTAGCATGAATAACGAACCCCAACGCCTTTCTTATCGTGAAAATTAATTGATGCATCAAGGATCCTAGGTGCCTGAGCATGATCATTTAGAAAACACTTCTAAATGGAAATGTTCTTTTTAATGCATTAGGCTAATTAAGAGTGAATGAGATTTACTAAATCCAATTTGTGAATTTGACAATTTGTTTCAGATTGAGTGTATTATCTCTACAGGTTCTTGCCAGCACTGTGTTATGACCATTAGCCTTGTTCGATTTGGGTTGTGACGTTTTTCAGCTGCCACTTAATCATAGGTTTTAACTTGTTAAGAATTTGTTGAAGACGGCTGCCAATCTCAGTTACAGAAAATTGATTGTAGAGACTTTTCACTCATTATACACTTATCATACACGTTCTGTGCTCTGGTGTGCTTTATATTGAAGCATACCATACATATAGTAAAGTATGTATTGTATATGTATGTTTATCATGTGTGTGCATGTATTATGTCTATCAGAGTCCTCTATCAGGGGTGCTTTGGTCAGGCTATTAACATGTACGGGAGGTAGTATGTTTTAAGTAAGTATCAGCAGTGGTAGTAGTATCAACAATATTTATTATTAAAATGTCTACAGCAAGTGTGAGAACCAAGCTATTATATTTTTCACATAAACATTTAAGGCTTTGTATTAGTCAGCTAAAGCAATTTCAAACCAAAGCCAAACTAAACAAGTCTGTCACTGTCTCAGGGAAGCATTGTTGTTGGTAGCTGTCACAGACAGGTAAAAAGATGATGACAAAATAAAAGTAAAAGCAGCCAATGTTAGCAGAAGAAGAAGCACACCACTGCAGTGGATAAAACTATGAATGCTGCGCAATTTCTGTGTGTATTGATAACTGTTTGGCTGGCAAATGTCTGGTAAAATGATTTTAAATCACTGAAAGCCAACATAGCAATATGGTGTGTGTCATCTTTTGCCTCTAAATTATCCATTACCCTGCAGCTGTTGGAGAAAGGCACAACTAACTAACTTGCTGCATTTTCTAGTATAGCACAATGCACAGGATATGAGATCTCATTTCACAGGAAAGAAACCACTTCAGCACATATCTGATTATCCTGTCTACATATGCACAATTAGATTACATTCATAATATACAATTTGACATATTCCTGTCAAATTGTCAAAAAGATCGTACTAATATATAATTTGACAGATTCCTGTCAAATTATATATTAGTACGATCTTACAGTTAAATATAGGCGTGAAGTTTGTTTTTTTCCAACGTGATTTGAGATTTTTCTGGAAAAGTCTCAATAAAATCACCAGTGCAATTCAGTTCTCTTCTTCTTGGAACAGCAACTGATCCAAGAAGAAGAGTTCATATCCTTTTTATTACAATAATAAACATTCAGTAGTAATGAATTTAAGGAATGGGCCTTCATTTCCTGACTTTAATAAGATATAAAATTAGTGGTGCAAATAGAACTGGTTGATATTAGAGCAGATAGAGTGAACCAAAGAGAGGTCAAATGACTCATTGGGGAGAGGATGACATAAGATACTTCTTGAAAATAAAGGTTTATAAATGAAAATGAATAATTACACATTTAATCTGTTGTCCTGAGCGGAGTGGGAAAGTCATTCCACCAATGTGAAGCCAAAAGGGAGAAGAGCCAAGGCCAGGTTGAGCAATGACCACATCAGACAGGGAAGAGAGAGCCAAGTGGCCGATTGTGGCGTGTTCTGCCGGATGTTTAGATTGCTCTCCATGCTCTAGCAGTTATGCTTTTATACTTCAGGAAGACAAAAACATTACATTACCTGTAAAAGTATCAGAAAAAGTACTTTATTTGATACCTGTTCTAGAGTATTCTGTTTGTGTCTGTAACTTGTTCACAGGTTTTTGAGTCACTATATGTTTTGTAATTCACTGACAGCTGTAATGCCACAATGGACATGGATGATATTTGATATGTCTTTTATCCAAAATGCCTGGTAATGTTGCCAGACCTACTTACATTTTTAAAAAAATTTTCTTCTGCCTCTCTATGTTTCTGTCTCTCCAGCTGCCTACTGTAGCATTAATGATCCTCCAGTGAATGGGGGCGTGGTCAACCGAACCAAACTCCGTCCAGGTAGCAGACTTCAGTTCTACTGTAACAGAGGTTACCGCCTGGTAGGCTCAAGCAATGCCACCTGCAGGCTCCACCCCAATGGGCTTTTCCAGTGGGATGCACCACCACCTTTTTGTCAAGGTACAGGTTATTTTTAAGTACATTCTTCGTCATCTAAAAGTTGATAAGCATTAAAACCTTACAGTTTGAGAAGGATTTCCCTACAGCACTTCTCTCTTTGTGTTGCAACAGCTGTCTCATGTGGAATCCCCCAGTCACCAGGCAACGGTAGCTTCAGCGCTAACCAGTACACTGTTGGTAGCCAGGTCACCTACCATTGTAATCATGGTTACCACCTGGACCCTGGGGTTCCAATGACAGCAGTGTGTTTGGAGGATGGCAGTTGGAGTAATGCTGCCTCAGCACCCAGATGTCTACGTAAGTATTTTTTAACAATGATTTAAGGACAGTCAAGAGTGTGAGTAGACAAAAAGAAAAATCTTAACTCAAGGTCCACTTACTAGCTATTTCTGGAGCTTTTCACTGCATTGTGCAGTCTTTCCCAGTGGACAGAGTGGAGTTTGCTCAGTTTTCATGGTTGTCTAATGTCTGTGTGCCACGAGATGCAGTTGAAAGCAATAAGCTAGTAAGTTGAGTTGCAGTTTTCTATTTATCAAACTAATGTTTCCACGGTCAAGAGTAAAATATCGTCAGTGTATGACTGACACTGTATGAAAAACATTTACAATGCACAATATTAATTATTTTAGATTAGATTAAACAATATCAATGTAAACCAACTGGTACAGTTTCAAAGTTGTTTAGCTGTAACATGCTGCCAGTGTGTGATACATTAATGGACAATATGATATTTTAAAAATGTCTTTTGTTCATATTGATTAGCATTATAGACATTTGCAAATGGGGGTATTATGTATTGGATCATTTATTATTGAGTAAAATTAATGGTATGCTGTGCATGGAGTAAATGTATGCATTTTAATTTATGTATTTGTACAGTTTCTTTCTAAACAGGGGTGGGATATGAAAAAATATTTTTGTTTGTGTAGAGAAATGAAAGTTTGAAATTCACAGAAATGCATATCGCCATTTACATTATGGATTGGACCCATATATAATATTATAGATTTTATATCAAATTTATAAATTATAGATTATAGAGACTTGTGTATTATTTAGTGTTGGCATGTGCTGTATGTAAACTGAAACTATATGGCAGTAAATCACTAATGGTTAAGGACACACATGAAGCTTTTATTAAATTGTAATTTCATTACATTTTATTTTCCAGCCATCCACTGCCCCAGCATTGAGGGCACCTTGTCAGATCACATGACCTACCGCCTGCTTTCTGGTAGGTCGGGAGAGTTTGGTTCTATGGTGATGCTGGAATGCTCAACAGGGTACTATTTGGGTGTAGGCCGTCGAACTCTTCGCTGCCTTGCCAACGGGACCTGGGAGGGGTCAGATGACCCAGCTGCATGCAAGAGTAAGCATTTCTACAAACATGAACACCCTACATGAACACATTACTATCCTATGCAAAAGAAATCTCAACTGGTAGACTAAATGTAATAGCTACATAGCCTATTCCAAATATTTAACAAATACCAGCCTGTCCAAGAGCAGCAACGCAACATCCGTGTCTGCCCTCAGTCCCTTCTCTTCTGTCAGCGTTCTCCAACAAGGAAAGGCTACACCAATGGTTATTTGTGTCTGTCCTTGCTGTCGATCACTTTCCTTTTTTGACGATGAAGCAATGGAGTTGTGTCATCTCTGTTCAATCTCAATTCAAGTTGCTTTATTGGCATGACTGCACACAATACAACATCGCCAACAAATATTAACACAAAGTATGCAATCAAAATAAACTCTCTCCACAGGACCCTGGTTTGCTCCCCCCTTCAGCTCTGGTAATGCTGGTTGGAATAAAGTTCTTCACAACTGGTGCTCCAGCATGGAAATGTCAACACAAACACCAGATTTAAAAACTCCAGAGTACTGCAGATAGTAGCGTAATCAGAATTGTGTGAATTCATTTAGCCAGGGCTTGATTGTAATGGACGTTCATTTATATGTAAAAGTCCTGCACTCCAGCTTTAATATATACCGGTGTATATATATGTTTTATGCGCTTGTTCTATTGGCACTCAGGGTGACATATAACTTTTATATACATTTATGAGTCTACACAGACCTAAAGCCATATATAAGATTTTATTACAGTAAATGTTTCGCACTCCCTTGTACATATTTGCGTTGTAGGGACTGCCACAACCTGTCATGAATAAGTTATCAAAACAGCGTACCCACCCTGGCACAAGCAAAACAGCTGGAAAAGTCTGAGAAAGTTATTGCTCTGATGGATTTGCTTCTTTTGTGCCAAGAAAGCATGTGCTTTTCAGTTAGTTTGAGAGGAAGCATGGCCGTGTATAGTACTGGCTGCCACAGGTAGGTTTGATAGTCGGAAAGGGACAGCTTGACAGGGAGCTACTTTCTGTGTGAGCCTGTGTATGTTTCTCTATTTCCCTTACTACTTCTTTTATTTTAAAGTCTTACCAGGGTTATCTCAACCACTGCATATTGGTTTGGGACTGTGATAATTATTTTAAACAAAAAAATTAAATCTATCTTACATTATAACAGTGTTTTTTAAATTTTATTTAAAAACATTTTAATATTTTTTCATGATCCAGTATTTGAGTTGACCTACCTAACACTGCAGCAGCTCCGAGGGATTTGGCAATGTAACAGAAGTGTCTATTCTTCAAGTTGGCCAATGGTTTAGAAACAGTGTCTCCAAGGATATTAAGGGGGAAAGATCTTATATCTTCTGACCTAAATCTAATTCAGCAGGTATTGTATTGGAAAACTACATTTACAGTGTTTAAATTCAGTCTATGAAGACTTGGCAACATAACCCATTTCAAATTCTGATTTTCGAAAACACAGAAAATATAACTGTACCAGTTTCCCCATAATGCTATGTAATATCTAATTTCCAGTGTCTTTTTGTAACAACATGATCTTATCATATTTATGCTATTATTTAGTCATCTCCTGTGGTGAGCTTCCTTCTCCACCCTTTGGGACCAAACTGGGGACGTTGACTACATTTGGAGCAACTGCAATCTTCATGTGTAACCACGGTTACACACTGGTCGGGTCTCATGTCAGAGAGTGTGGCGCTAACGGGCTTTGGAGTGGAACGGAGACCAGGTGTCTAGGTAAGACTGATCAAACATGTAAAGATGTGCATTGTGTTGTGGTCTATCCTAACCAACTTTGGGATAAATATATTGATATCAATTTTATTTATATAGCACACTTAAAACAACCAAGGTTGACCAAGGTGCTTCACAGGTTAAAATACAACAACAAGACACTACTTATACAGTAAAAGTACAGCAATTACATACAGTACATTATAATATAGAGTATACGATATATAGTGATATTAAAATTGCCAGGAATAATAAAAGACTTAACTCGAAGGAAATGCCAAAGAAGAGACATGTTTTTATAGTGATTTAAAACGTTAGAGAGTTGGGGCAGTTCTGATATGGAGTGGCAGGTTGTTCCACAGGTTAGGGGCAGCTACACTAAAGGCTCGATCGCGTCTGGTTTTAAGTCTGCTTCTGGGTACATCCAGGAGGAGGAGATTGGTGGATCTCAGCACTCTAGCTGCAGTATGAACGTGAAGAAGCTCTGTTAAGTACAATGCAGCCAATCCATTAAGGCATTTAAAAGTAAGATTTTAAAATCAATCCTGTAATGAACAGGAAACCAGTGGAGGGAGCGCAACACAGGTGTGATGTGGTCCCTCTTCTTCTTTCCTGTCAGGAGGCGGGCAGCAGCATTTTGGACTAACTGCAGGCGCTGAGTAGATGACTTGTCTAAGCCTACATATAAGGAGTTGCAATAGTCAAGGCGGGAAGTTATAAAGGCATTAATCACCCTCTCCAAAATGTTTGGAGGGAGATAGGTCTTTACCTTGGCTATAGTTCTCAACTGGAAAAAGCAGGATCTAACAGTGGCGGATATCTGTTTATCAAATTTAAACGCACTATCCAATACAACACCAAGACTCCTCACAGTTGAGCAGTTGTTTGAAGTTAAAGGGCAGCGAGAATCTACATCAAGCAGTTCAGGGTGTCCAAACACTATGATCTCTGTCTTGTCTCCGTTTAGGTTGAGGAAGTTTAGGTTCATCTAGGTGATGATGTCCTTCATACAGTCAAGCAGGGGCTGCAGTGAGCCCTCTGTTTTTACATTCAGGGGCAAATAAATTTGAATATCGTCTGTAAAACAGTGGAAAGAGACCTCATACCTCTCAAAAATGGAGGCCAGGGGCAGCATATACAAAGAAAATAAGAAGGGGCCTAAGACAGAACCTTGAGGGTCACCACAGGTAAATGGGGCTGTCTCAGAGGAATAACCACCAAGGTGGACAGAGAAGCTCCTATCTTTTAGATGAAAGTGCAGTACCTTTGATTCCCACACAATTTTCCAACCGTGACAAGAGGATTGAGTGGTCAACAGTGTCAAAGGCAGCAGTGAGGTCTAAGAACACTAGGACGGCAGAGACTCCTGAGTCAACAGTTAAAATCAGGTCATTAAAACTCTTAAAAGTGCCATTTCAGTGCTGTGACGGGGTTTGAAGCCAGACTGGAACTTTTCATAAACATTATTAATTAAAAATGTTTGCAACTTTCTCCAGGACTTTAGATAAGAAAGACATTTTAGAGAGGGGCCTGAAGTTAGAGAGAACAGAGGGGTCGAGATTTTCCTTTTTTAGCAGGGGCTGTACAACAGTGCGTTTAAAGGAGGACGGAACATAACCAGAGACAAGACAGGTATTTATCAATGACAAAATACATGGTCCAACGGTATCAAAGACTTCTCTAATCAGACGAGAGAGAATGCTGTGACAATTTGTGAGCCGCAGATGATGGACCACCTCAGATAGGGAGGAGATTGAGATGGGCTCAAACTGATCTAGAACCGTAAGGCACATAGGAGGAACAGAGGGATCATGGTCAGAGGATGTGGTTACAGAAGATCGAAGAGCAAAAATCTTCTCAACAAATAATTTTAGGAAAGAGAGGTGTAGGTGTAATAGGAGCAGAGTTTCGGGGATTTGTAATGGTGTTAAACATATTAAAAAGAACCTGTCGCCTGTGATAGTTGTTGGTGACCAGCTTAGAAATAAAATCAGATTTTGCAGATTTTACAGCTCTCTGATAGTCAGATAGATATTGCTGTAGGATTTCATATGACACTCTGAGTTTCTTTCTTCCACCTTCTCTCAGCTTGCAGACATGCACGTCTGAGCGCACGGGTGGAGTCATTCAACCAGGGCTCTGAAAGTGCTTTAGTGCGTTTCATCCTCAAAGGAGCTACAGAGTCCAAGATGTTTGTGCAGGTTGAATTAAAAAGAGTAATAAGTTCATCAGCACCAGTAGCATCACCTCCATCCAAGTTATAGAGCACAGAGTCTTTGAAAGCAGCAGAGAACTGTGCCGGGGTTTGACTGTTAATTACATGACGGCAGTGTGCAAAAGGAGATTTGACCACAAAACATGGGACTGTAATCGTAAATAAGACATCTGAAATACATACGTTACAGATTTCATTTACATGAACACGTAAGCCATGAGACAGCACTTGGGTCTAATGTGTGTCCCTTTTCATGCGTTGGGCCAGACACTGATTGAGTGAGATTAAGAGTTAAGAAGATTTAAGAAGTCTTTAACAAGTCTTTAATTTAAGTTTGCTAACACAGCATACATGTAAATTAAAGTCACCACAAATTATGAAATGGTCACAGTTTAACCTGACACCTGCTATAAAATCAGCAAACTCGGAGAAGAGGCGTTAAATTAGCAAAGCTAATCAATAATAGTTACACAAGAAATTCAACATTTTGAATGGTGTGAACCATCGAAACCAGAAGAGAGGGCAAGTTCACTGGGAATAAAATGTTGTAAGCTGTTATGAAATAAAATCAAAGTTTTGTAATCAGCTTGCATTAAAGATCTCTTGTATCATTTATTTTTTTCATTTCTGCATAAAATCCAATTTGATTAGTGCCTTGTTTCAACGGTCAGACTGGCTGTAATGCCAATTTAAAGGGCCATTATGTACAAAATAAAAATACATAAAATGTGATTAAAAATCATTCTGTTTGTCTGCTGTAAGCCGTGGTATCACTAGATTCCACAGTCATAGAGAGACTCTAAGCCGTGTGTAGTACTTGTTACGTGTCATGAACTTTCGTAAAGGCCATTTTTAATGGAAATGTGTAAACTTATGTACTTAGGCTTCATTAATAAATATGGTTGTGACAGGTGCCTAGGTAAGGTCCATGAAAATTAGACCAGCAAGTGAGATAAACTGTGCACATGCTTCAGTAACTCAAATGATATGCTACTGAGACATGTTATTACTTAAAACATTAAGCTCTGACCAGAGATGATTAATCCTGATTTTACATGCACACTCTACTCCAGTGATTCAGCCTTGGAGTTACAGGCCTGAGTAAGAAGCTATATGCAGATGCCCATTTCATGTGATGAATGTATAAATCAAGGCATGTCCACATTCACATTATTATTCTGAGATTACGATGCTAACAAGGGCAGGTAAAATATACCTAAACTCCATCAAGCTCATAGAAATGGAGTGTAACAAGACAGTTCTGTCTAATATCAGACAAAGATGTGGGTTTTATTTGGTTCAAATAGCTGTACTGCATTTCTCAACACAGACTGCAAATTCACTGGGTTCGTATTAAGACTGAAAAGTTATCATCACATCAAGTCACATCAGGATGTTGTTTATTACATGTGGAAAAAGTGACCAACCTTGAAAGTTTGATTGAAGTCAAGCTATGTGAAGGTCTTTCCCAAGAGGTGTTGCATTTTGCAAGTGCTGTATTATACTGTATTGTTCCACTTTTAAGTCTATTTTTAAAAGATTACCCCTCTACACCCCCCAAAATATATGTTTAGGGCTTCCATCAGTCTCACGCTTGTTTAAAAGTAACATAATAAAAAAAAAGTTTATAATGAATAGATCATATGGTCAGTGATGTTGACACTGGCACACATTAATGTTAAGGTTCCACAATCTTTTTATATACATAATCTGATTTTATGGAATTTTATTCAGAATTTATTGAAGAGATTTGTCTCTTTAAAAAAGCAGAACATCTGTTCCTCACAATTTTGGAAAGGCTATAATTTGTAGCATTTCAGTGTGGAATATTTGACACATTCCTCTGTGTATTCTGTTGGCTCAAATATTGATGGCACAATAAATCACAATTTGCTTCAGAAAAACTCTTAGACATGTTAACTGCTGTAAACTGTTTTGGTATTCATGATAAAACCTTCTTTATCTGGTGTGTCCTAATGATTTTATAAAATTAGACTGAACAAAGAAAATAAAAAAGGAAAGACAGAAAGAAAGAAATAAAGAAAGAAATCCAAAGACTTCTGCAAAATAATCAATGTTCTAGATGCCTGTTTTTACAGCATTAATCATCATTCACGAAAGTGTATAAAATCGTTTGAGAAATGTGAAATACATCAAAATGTACTGGGCCTCAGTTATTGACTTCATGAGGCCCAGAAACATGAAGCAAGGGATTGACTGAAATGCGGGTGATTGGTCTCTTAATAGTTGTAATGGTATTGAATACAATTCAATGATTCTCCACACCTAAGCTCTCAAGATGTGTCCTGCAATTTATGTGCTCAAGTTTTACGAAATCATGAAATTATGTGGTACTTCAAGGCCACTTTAACAGACTTTTAGTGCATCTGTAATTGCTGCATGGTTAGGCCGCAGTCATGGAGCTGTGCTGTCTTTGTATATTGATTTGCAGATGGGCTGATGACATCACTCCCCCGACATTCAGAAGTTTAAGTACTGAGACAGCGCCTGTAAATCACTTGGCAATCTAACTGTTGTCTTTTAAGGTCGTAACTACGGGAACAGTGAACCAACACTGATGACTTTAAAGCCCGAGATAGGGAAAGTGAGGAAGAAGGAGAAGAAGTTTTTTGTCCTTATACTGCATTAATCTCATTTCATTTCTTCCTATTCTAGCTGGTCACTGTGACTCTCCAGATCCTATAGTCAATGGCCACATTAGTGGAGATGGCTCTAGTTACCGTGACACAGTGGTGTACCAGTGCATGTTAGGATATCGTCTAATGGGCACATCAGTCAGAATCTGTCAGCAAGACCATCGGTGGTCTGGAACAACACCCGTCTGCGTCCGTAAGTACTTTATAAAACTAAAACCATTGTAGTTCATCTCTAAGTATAATAATATAATTATTTATCACTCTTTCTTTTAATATGACAAGCTAAAAAGAATGTCCTATACAAAGGAAGTCCATTGCACACAAGAGTCTTAGCCTTTCTGGGTTTAAATTGTTCTTTTAATGACTTTTCCTGCAGCATCTATATGTTCCAGCAAAACGTTTAAAATATCACAAAATATCTAGTGGAAAATACAACAATGCTGCACATGATACTTTTCTCCACACCTCACACTTCTCATCATACTTCTCTCTACTCCCTCAGCTATCACTTGTGGTCACCCTGGAAACCCAGCCAACGGGCGAACCAATGGCAGCGAGTTCAACCTCAATGATGTTGTCAACTTCACCTGTAACAGAGGTTACATCCTCAGTGGAAATGCTCGTGCCCAGTGCCGACTCAATGGACAGTGGAGCAGCCCCCTACCTGTCTGCAAAGGTCACAGACGCACATCTTAACACAGAGTCACTTAAAAACCCATGTAAATCCCTGTAAATGCTTTATTTAAATCCACTATTCAGATCAGAATGTATAGGAGACAGCAAGATAAGATGGTGTTGGCTTTCGGTTTACCTCTGGTATTTGTTATCTTCATCCCTAGTTGCTCCAGAGGCGTGTGGCCTCTCAACAGGGCCAGCCCTGACAGTGTTGGAGCCCTTGGCGAGATATTATATTAATTATATAAAGAGAAACGCTAAATTCACTAAATTCATGCTGCAGTTGAAAATTCAAAATATTTTAAAAAGTATAGAACATAATGCAGTAAGACTCTCAGGCATTCTGTTGCTGTTGCTTTTAAATATGTTTTCTCCTATAGAAAATAAAATAAAAGAATAAAGTCCAAAATAAAGTCCCTGCTGAGTCAACACACATGATTTAGTCTTCCCTCCCCTTTTCTATCTTTTGTTTGGCTAAGTAACCTCTTTAAATGTGCAGAACTGGCACCTTTTCACCTCAATGATAAATTAATTCATTTTAATTCAGTTACAAACTCCTGAACTTTAATAGCTCCTGTGTTTCAGCAGGTTTTCTGCTCATGTTCACAACATTCTGCACATTCAGAATCTATCCCACATATCTGTGTTCCTGACATGTCAAGAAAAAAAGTTGTAATATTTTGAGACTAATGTCATCATTTAGTTATTGCTCGGCTAATACAGTAAGAACGTATGACAGACACAGAACTGGAAGGGACAGGCAGGTTAAAAAACTAACTGAAAACAACCACAGCATGTTGACTTTAGCACATCTGATAAAATGCAGCTCACTGTCCCAAAGAGAGCAAGGTTGTGCTTGAGTTGTTACATTTTTCTATTGCAAATCTACCAGCTATGTTACTACTCTGCCGCTCACAACGAGAGGTAGGTGCCTTTGTTACAATCTCGGCATACTCTGTTGTCGCATCAGCTGGGAGGAGTGGGTTCACACCGAGTTGAAAATTGTCTCTTGCAGTGCCCCCGGTATTTTGTACCCTAGGCAAGCACCTATGTCACCTTTGCCAAGGGCCTCTGACATATATAGTAGTTGTGAGTCACATTGGATAATTGTTAAAAGTAGTTGTGCGCACACGCATTGGCATTGTGGTGGATGGCTGTGGTAGACATTTCTAGTGCCCTCACCTTTGTTTTCACTTTCAGATAATTTCACTGAGGTCGCCAGCTCCTTAGGTCCTAGCAGTTGGCGAGTAAATTGTCATCATAACCAAATGGAATCATTGCCACAGTGACAAAAATTAGCATGTATTCAGTATTTGTTGGCCCGATTTGCTTCTAGCTACATTATGTCAACTGGAACATTTTTGGCCAAATCTGCTGCCAACAGACTGTAAAATTGAGAAGTGAATAATTGTAGCTTAAACACACACTTACCATTAAGCTGTATTCAGCTACATTCAGTGTGGGGTGTGTGTGTGTGTGTGTGTGTGTGTGTGTGTGTGTGTGTGTGTGTGTGTGTCTAAATAGACTCAAAAATTCATATGTGCACACACACACACAGCTGGATACATGTCCAGAGACACGTTCTCCTCCTCTGCTAACCATGCGTGGTCGTTACACTACAAGCCTCCCAACACCTCCGTGAGTGTAACAGTTATGATAGTAAAACAGACACACACACACTGGTATTCTGCACAGTCATGTCAGCAGATCAATATGACATAGCTGCTCATGGGTTTTCCATTGAAGTGATTCATCCTCACTTACTTGCTTTTTTCATCTCCCTCACTATTTCTGTCTCATCCCTGTATCCCTCTCTCTCCCTCCCAGCAGCAGCTGTCAATTATGAGACTGAAACTTTCTTTGTTCCCATAGGGTGCCAGACACACACACACACATATCCATGTCCCCCATGGACTTGAATTTGAGTGAATGTCAGTCTCCCCTGTGACATGTGGAAAATAAAACTCCACTCTTATTAGACTGGCATCCACCCAGAGAGCAGGACAGAGTCTAAGGGACCTGAGGAAAGAATAGAGAACAAAGAAGTACTCTAGAAAACAGTTTAGCAGAAGACCTGAACAGATCAACAAGGACAAAAGTACCCAACCCCGTCCTGTGTTCTGGTGGCTGTTCTGAGCAAGTTTTAGTTAAGTGTGACTGATCCACACTGTTATTTGAGTGTGACATTTCTGAACTGTACAGTACCTTCAAAAAGTCCCACAATGGAAAAAGTACATCTGCCATATGTACTTTCTGCAAACATTCCCAAAATGCAACTTTTAAAAAACAACAGTCATACTACAGTACACTTGTCAGCAGTAGTATTTCAATACTAGTTCTTTTGTGCAGTCCGTACCCATATGTATCCATGTAAACCATTTGGGCCTAAACAACGTGAAGAAAAATTCCTATCTATATAATAAAAACTGTTTAAATAGGTTCCAACAGTGGCTTCTGCTCTCTTCTGCAGTGGTGAACTGTTCTGACCCCGGCCATGTGGAGAATGGCGTGCGCCAGTCTGGACTACGTTACCCAGAAGTCTTCAGCTATGGCGTAACTGTGGCAATCCACTGCAAACGAGGCTTCTATCTCCTGGGTTCTGCGCTCCTCACATGCCAGCATGATGGACGATGGGACCGACCAATCCCTCACTGCCTAGGTATGGATGAACAAATACAAGCAGTTTGAGGATTACTTGAATAGAGAGAAACAATGTCAATACAAGTTTTGGAGACAAGTGTGATGGAAGCAGAGCACCAACAAGCAATAAAATTACATTCATACGCCTATAATGCAAATGTTTGTCCTATTGTGAGAAGTTACAACTTTATGGAATTCAGCAAAAGAATTTTTAGTACACATAGGTAGCTGGATTTCTATTTATTTTTCATTGTATTCGTCAGGAAAAGTGATTTGTAGAGCGAAATGGCTGGAAGAGCCACTGGGAGGAAGATGAGGGGCGAATGAGAAACTGAGAGAATAGGAGAGGGTTCAAGGGAGGAAATGGGAGGGAAGTAATCATAAAAGGAGGACGAGAGTATGAAAGAAAGAGGCTTAAAGTGTGTGTGTGTGTGTGTGTGTGTGTGTGTGTGTGTGTGTGTGTGTGTGTGTGTGTTTGTGTGTTCGGAAAAGGTGAGCATCTCTCAGGGCAATAGGCATTCTTGTCAGAGAGCTACCATAGCTGATAGAAACATAGAGATTAAACTAGAGAGCGATAGAGAGGATGAGTCTGATTCAGAGTTGGAGAGAGATCCAGAGAGAGGCGAACAGGGCCGCAAAATGAGGACACAGGAACAGAGAGGTGGAGATGAGGAGTCAGACAGAGAAGGAGAGAGGGGTAGACATCGGTGAAATTCTGGTGTCTGTGCATCAACCATTACATTCGAGAAACAAAGTCTTATCGGAAAATTGGGGGGAGAGGGGTGACGACTGAGGGGCAAGGAGAGGATGGAGCAATACAATTTGGGGGTAAGGGGAGATATCGGAGGGCCAGTCATTTGGCAGAAATTGAAAATCGAGAGCAGTTTCATATCTGTGCCCTCCAGAAACCTGTGCTCTGTAAAATGTCGATTTTTCCAAAATTGAAGCAAAAGCTAGAAGTTTTTTTTTGACTGATGTCTGTTGCTTTGACTTTTTCTACCTGAAGGGAATATAATTTGAGCCCTTTCACTTACTCGGACAATTCAATTAAACTCAATTAAAAATAAGTGTTACTGTCGTGACTTTATACTGCCATACAGTGTAAGCAAAGCAGTATGGGTTATGTTTAGTCATGTGTCTATGTAAATTATATTGCAAAATTACAACTGTTACAAAAAGCGAGTGCCTAGGTTTTAGCACCCATACCACATAACTGCAATGTCCTCGGTTTGATTCCAGCAGGAGACCTTTGTTGCATGTTCTATCCTTCTCCTGCTGTCTCTCTCTCTCCCTACATTTACGGTCTCTACATCAAATAAAGGATTAAAGCTGTAAGCAAAGGAAACCTACCGTGTAACAGTAGTTGATATTACATTTGTAAAATGATTGTCTTGTAAATTCTCATTTTGTAGACATCACAAGTTTGTCAAACTCAAATAAAAAAAAGATAAGATAAAAACTCTTTTGTTTTCTCATTCACAAAAACAACAGACACTTAAAAACAGACACGAAAACAACAGACACTTGCGTTTATCCCACCCCTCACCCTCTCCCTCTAGCTGCCTCCTGCAATGACCCAGCTGAATCATGTAATGCAGTAGCATCTGGAATCTATAGCTGGACACAATTTTACACACCAACACCCCCCCACCCCCCCTTCTCTCTCCCCCTGTCGTTCCATCTCTCACTGTCTCTGCAGCTATTTCCTGTGGTGACCCGGGTGTACCCCCTAATGCAGTAGTATCTGGAACCCACAGTTGGACATACGGTTCAGTGCTGCAGTACTCTTGTCTGCCTGGAGGAATGCTAGTGGGCAATGCTACTCGCCACTGCCAGGAGGACGGCACATGGAGTGGAGCACCACCGTACTGCACTGGTAAAGGCACACTGGTCGATAAAGCAGAGAATGTACAGTGTTTTTTTTTTTTTTAGATTGTTGGCAACATGCTGGCTGTCTGGTTAACAGTGTTTCTAAATCTTAAGCAATAATCCAGCAATCGCACCCATTTAAATCAACATCTATACTGAGACTGCCAATAGGAAAGTGTGCTTCATGAAATTACAAGAATTCCCATAAAAGTTATGGGTGAGTTTACAAGATGATGCTATATATAGATGCTATACATCAGGCCACATAAATACAAACAAAAACTACTGAATAACAACAACAACCAAAAGACACTGCTCAAAATCAAAACTCTGTGACGCAAGGGAACTAAAGTCACAGAGTTTAGTTTAGTAGTGAGTAAGAGCTGTCTAAAAATATCATCCCATCAGGTGCAACAAGAGTTTGCCATATCACACAAGCAAGTCAGTATGAAAATGTCTTCAGGGTGTTGTTGCTCCAGCATAACACACGGAATAATGTCACCTTTAGCCTACACTGCTCTATATGACAATAAAGGGTTCTAACTATAATCGACAGGTAAATATGATTGACAGTCCAGGGTCCCTGTGAGTTTCAGAATTTCATAAAAAGATCAGCACTCACTTCTCAACTGGATTTGCTTTTGATATGGACTGTAAACAGATAATGACAGTGGTAGACTTTCAATAAGGCCAGTGCATACTATAGCTGAAGGTTATTCCTCATGAATCTAGGCACATGAGAATGTGTTACACGACAGGACTTTGCCCATTTACATAGTGCAAACTGTTGCGAGCTGCTCATATCTTTGATTAAAATGACCTACTTTCTAGCTTACTGACAACTAGGCACTCTATTACTATGCTGTCCTTTCATGGCATCGTCTTTGCTCCACAAAAAAAAAAAAAACTTTACATAAGACACAAGAGAGAAAGCTGTTCAATATTTTCAACACTTTTTTAAACAGCGTAATACAAAAACCGAGTGCCCAGTGTGTAAGAAACGAGAAACGAGGTGACAGAGTGCTGGTTTACTGCTCAGGTTGTAAGTGCTCCTCTACAGTAGGCTTACGCAGATCCCACAACACTACAACTGATCATTTCCAAACCCAGCGTCAACTGTCTCAACGGCTGAAATGCAATAAGCTTACTCTGCTGGCCCCAAAACAGAGCGCTCAACAGGGTAGAATCCATCCTGCAGACCTCATTGAGATGCAAGACGCTGCATTTGGAGCTGTACCCTGTTAAACTCACAAATCCCTACCGATGGAATTTAAGCTGCTAAAACTGTGACACGCTCAGTGCTTTTAATGCTAGAACAAGTTGGTATAGCCTAAATGCAAAGTACAGTTCTACAAAGTCTGGGTATCTGCGTGTACTGTATATGTGTGTCACAAGACCGAGTAGGCAAAATTTGTGAGGCTATGAGATGACTAATATATATTTTTGTTAATGTTATTGGCCTGTAGCATGAAGGCAGTCATATACTTTTAGCATGGTGGCCACAGTGACAGACAACCTCCGATCCCTGTTTTTTACCATTTAGTTACATAAAATCACTAAACCCTATTAGGAGACTAATGGACATCCGTTGAATACACCTGCTGTTTCACAGCAGGATACATTAACTGTATCAAGTGCATTTCGAATTTCATGTGGTTAAGTGTGTTTCTATTTTTGTGTCTCATCAGTTCAGGACTGCATAGGGGTCCTTGGTTGCTTCGGTGGTGTGCATGTGCCTGTCTTTTGGTGTGTGTTTGGTACATTAACTTTATGTCTCTGTTCTCGCTATAGGTGTAAGTCCAGGAGTCTGTGGAGACCCAGGGATGCCTCCCCACGGTGCCCGTCTGGGAGGGGAAGAATTTAAAACCAAGAGCCTGCTGCGTTTCAGCTGTGAGGCGGGATATAGTCTGATTGGCTCAGCCGAGAGGACCTGCCTTCACAACTGCACCTGGAGCGGCACGCAGCCTGTCTGTCAAGGTGCGCAAGCTTACATGACTCCTTTAAAAGATGAAACAAAAGCCATTAGACGCAGCAAACAAATCACATTTGTTTATCATAGAGATATCATTGCATCATCATAGCACTTGGTTCTGTAGTATTTTATATCAAAGCAGTGGATTTCTGCTGGAGTCAAAATAGATATTTGGTTGTTGTGCACAGTATTCTATTTATGTGCACCTTGATTGACCCTGTTTTATAGTAAGAGACTGCTGCTTGCTTTATACAATGCACTTGGATTTTTGCTTGCTGAGCAAATGTTATGTGCATATGTCTGTTTAGAAAACATCATACATTTTGATACCAAGTTATCTCTGTCTCAATTCAGGTTAACTTTGGGTCCCAACCTAGATTCTGTAAAACATTGCTGTAAAAATAAACATTGCTGTAAAATTAGTGCAGATTTTGTATAAACCCACAGTGTATTTGTGGCATATGGACTTAATTATTCAGCATTTTATGTGAAAATAAATCAGTTCAGCCTCCAAAGTTGAACAGCTTAATCTTCTCTTCTTCAGAGAATACAGTAGCATCAGGCTACTTGGCATGCTACTGACAAGCAACTAATCCATTACCAAATATAGTTTGAAGCATGTTACATACATTGTACATTATACACATACTTTATATTGTGTAAGTAAAGCCTACAAGTTGCTTTTACATGCATTTATTGAGATGGATTTAATTCATAAAATTAAGTAGAAGTAAGTAAATATGTATTGTTAAATGTAGTATACGTTTAAATTAAGCTACACACGACACAAAAATCAATCATTTATAGTACCTTTTGGCATTAGTGGTGAACTAATATGTTGACAAAATTTACATCATTTAACAAAAAAAAAATTGTTCATGTCATGTAAGAGGTTTGTGGAAGTAGATGTTTGTAGAAAAAAAGCATGGATATTCAATGTTTATGTGTGTGTGCAATGATATCTGATATCTGTGTGGCCCAGATACAAAGGATTGAAGTGTGTCACTCCTCACTAACTGAACTGGATCTTCCATAGCACTATGGTAATAAAGTGCGTGCTATACAATAACAGCTTTCAAAGACACTCTTTAAACCATTGGGGGTTTAGGGGAAATTAAAGTGGGTCCCCATGGTGCTATAGTGACACTGGAATCCATAGCTGCTGCCTGTGTTACTTTTCCTGTTCACCACTACCGTATGTTGTAGGCTGAATAAAACACTGCTGACATTAACTCCATTGTCTGACGCAGATTTTAGATTCAGTTAGATAGATAGGCTGTTATAGCAGTAATTTGAGTGGATAGGGGGAGAAAGAGTGAGTCATGCAGTTTCAGAGTACTATATTATATTATTGTGACCGAAAACACTACAACTATACTAAATATAGAATGCTAAAAGGCCACACTGACTTAAAGGACGAAAATCAGATCATGAACAAATAAATGTGGCTGTGAAATGGCAACATTTGTTCAAGAATTTGCTGATTTATAAAAAAAAAAAGCTAGTTTTAATAGAAATGTGTATTATGATTCTCCTTCATAACAGCAATCTATGTTTTCAGATCGTATTCCATTTTGGAAAAAAATCTTGCAACCCTCTCCTGAAACTACAAGTACAAGACACTGAAACAGTGCTGTGAACTATATTAAGCAGTAGTCCACCTATAGTATGACAATTAAGTACTGAATTTTACTGTTGTTTGCCTACATGTACTAAATCCCAAATGTCAAAATCTAGCCCTCTACTCGCACACCTTAGAGGTGTGTGTCTGTTTGTGTGTGTGTGTGTGTGTGTGTGTGTGTGTGCACCAGTGTCTGAGTGTTTGAGTAACACTAATTATTTATGTCTGTCTACAGTTGTTTTTCATTAAGCTAAAAGTGGTTAAACGCTGATTCAGAAAGAATGAGACATCTATCACTGAGACACAAACACAAAGAAATCCATACACACGTCCATACGACCACACACACATACACAAACTGGTGGACACACCATGTATACTGATAACATTCTCAGCCACAAACGGTAAGCTGCTGTAGACACACACACAAACCGTGCATAAGGTGCTCCACCTACACACTCTGTCACACACACACACACACACACTCTCTTGGACAGAGCTTTTAAGGGCTCTAACTAATGCATCCCATCAATAGGTGTTTGATTGTTAAAGGCTGTCAGCTGTCATGATCTTATTAGTGAAATGTGCTGTGGTTGGTTGCTAATTCCTGTTTGTTAATGTGCAGTGCCAGCAGACTAAAGATTGATGGACTAGTTCAGACCAGAGATGGAATTCTCTCCCATCTGCATTCTTGTGTCCTCCCAGATAGTTTTGTCTTCCAATCTACAAGACAAGCAGTGGTTCAAAAACAATGACAGCCAAAGACGGATAAAGATCCTAGCCTTTTACTTGCCAAAAAAAAAACAAAGGTGTTACTTGTCCCAGAGGAAAAAAGGGAAGCCTTACAATTCACTATGAAAACAATGCATTGTGGTGGCTTTAGTGTAGAGCCTGTTGAAGCAGCTTTGGAAATGAACATCGGTGTGTCTTAATAGATGCTGCAGTGTCAATTATACAGCCAATCTCAAATTATAAATATGTATTCTCTGTGTGCTCATTGTTGGGGCTTGTTCTCCCCAAGATAACTCGGGAAGGACACAGTCCACAAGTACTGACTGACAATTAGATATACAACCCTGCTGCATGACCAATGCTTCCTCCTACTGTAGGACGTCTTACCGTGATGATATTTAAAACCACCAGCACATACATATTTGCAGACAATGTGTCTTGGTTTTTAACAAGAGGCAGAACCAGGTAACCAGGCTCGCTGCTTTGCTCAGTGGCACTTTGGCTGTTACAGTGGATGCTGTATATGTAGTACCAGCCTAATGCCAGCCTCTAGCAGACAATTCAATACTGTACATCTACCATTCAGTGCTGGGAATAAATCAACCTTTAGTTATTAATCAGCCTCTCTACCTCAAGGTCATATTTGTTGTTATTTCCAGCCAACTCCAGTGATAATCTCATTATTGCAGCCTACAGCTGATCAGCCTTGAGTGACAGCAAGACAGTATTGCTCACACCGATATTATCACCGTGCTTAATCATCACTGGTTAATTTTTTCTTCAATTCTCAGCTGTATCCTGTGGTAACCCTGGCACCCCAGCACATGGCAGAATTGTCTTCAGTGATGGCATCACTTTCGGCAGCTCGGTGGCCTATGCATGCTGGGATGGCTTCAAAACATCAGGCCTGACAACCAGACACTGCACAACAAATGGGACATGGACAGGACAACCCCCAGACTGCACTGGTAGGAAACATTTAAAATTGTTGCTCTACTGTTACTATCACTGTTATTATTAATGGTAACAGCAAGGGTAGCAAAGATAGCTTCATTAGCTGTAGAACTACAAGTACTACTGCAAATACTGTCAGTGTTGGTGCATGCATAGTGGAGTTTTTTTGTTAAGGATCCAAGAGGACTATAAATTGTGCATGAACTGGGCAACCTGCTTCTGTACAGGCACAGAACTATACAAGGGTAAGTTTGTTGTGTCTGAGATTTCAACTTGTATAGTTCAACAGAGCCAGTCAGAGGTTTGGGAAAAGGAAGAAAAAGAAGGTGGGAGGTAGCTGAATTGAAGCAGGATGTGCTTTAGGAAAGTTAAGGACGGCAGTCTGTGAGAAAGTTGAGTAGGAGGATGAAGTTAAGGGGCAGACAGGGAGAAGTAGGGGGGTTCAGACTATGTTAGAAAACACAGTAAGTTAAAATACAGAGACTGGATAAAATAAAATTGTCCAAAAATGTTACTGCACCATCTGACTGATATACACTATACTGTATCCATGACTATTGGTCCTGTAAAATTTCTCTCACTTTTAGTGATCAGTTGCGGAGACCCTGGACCCGTAGCCAATGGGATCTATCTAGGAAGTGAGTTTACCTTCAACCATACAGTGACCTACCACTGTAATCCTGGTCACCTGATGGAACCACCTGGACGCAGTGTTCTGCACTGCACCAAAGATGGAACCTGGAACCAAACCAAACCCAGCTGTAAAGGTAAGAAGAACTAAGACCTTAACTAACTCCTTCCTAAGGGCCCGTGTCCACCAAAGCGTTTTTTCCTGAAGCCAGCGTCTTTTTTTCAATTCATTGCAATGGGAGCTCCGCGTTTTTACTTGCTGGTAAAAACAGCAGGAGCGTGACGAGGCGCTGAGCTTCTTTTTCCGTGCTGAGCGTTTTTTTCCGGTCGCCGAGAGTTGAAAAATGGAGAAGGGTCCAGCTGCAGCCCACAGACAAACCCATAGACTGTATATAAATATCTGTATAAATTGGGGCTGGGTATTATCGCATTAACCATTAATTAATTAACACAGATAATTATTTTATCTCACGTTAACACAGTTTTTGAAAGTCCGTTGCTCACTGGCTCTGAATACACATACAGTCAAACCGTGGGTCACAGGAGGGGTGGGATGTTGATCAGCCTGCAAATCACCTACCCAAACAAGCAGTGGAGGGAGGCCTCGGCAGACTACGTTGGATGCAGTGTGTGGGAAAAGTAGATAAACAAAAGCAAGACAGGCAAAAAAATGCCATAGCGAAGTGGATAGCTGCACACTGCATTCTGATTTAGTATTGGGGAAGATGTCGGTTTTAGGAACGTTCTTAAAATCACAACATAGTCGCTTGACCCCGCGGGGTTGCTCTGTGCTCCTCGGGTGAACAGGAGACCAATGCTCCGCGAGTAGGCGCTCTATGGAGAGTAACCATAGCAACGGCTTCTGTGCGCTACACAGCTATAGCCTATTTAACTTGCTATTAAAAATTATAGGCTACATAACTTGACCTGATAGGCCTACACCAAGTTTGGTGGGGATTCTCTGCCATGCTAATTCCCTCCTGTTGATGTCCTATTTAGTAAACAGTAATAGATTCTGGAAACTCACAAACAGCGAGGATCAGTCTCTCTACCAATGATTTGTGCTATGCGTTGCGTACAAAGAGTCAAGACAATTTAACTTTGGGAGCTGGTGGGTGTGTGCGTGAGGCCAGCAAACCGCGACAGTTTCACGGGAACACACCCGCTTGTTGCTACATCTTGTGCTTGACCACTTCACCTTACTACTGAACATGGAAATATTTTATTGCTACTGTGTAAAGGGAACACTGCTGGTAAAAAAAACACCTTAAGTTAAGTTACTGGAAAGCTTTTTCAAAGTATTGTTGATTTCAAGAGACTGAAACAGAAATCTGCTAATAACAAGGTACATAACAATGGAGAATAAAACATGTTATAGAGCTGTACAATTGCAGCAAAAGAAGCCCCACAAAAAAAGTGACAATTTAAATAAGAACAGTATTATTTCAGTGTGTGCATACTAAAATAACAGATTGTAACTTTAACAGTACGTTAGGAAGAGGCCAAGGAAAGATTAACATTGCTCCTTACACGTGTTAAATTTGAGTTTATTTCCTGAAACCCCTGTTTTTGTTCATAAGCACAAAGGGGGAATTAAAAAAGAATGCATTAAAATAAAATGAGTCACAGTTTTACAGCAGCCCATATTTAGAGTTTAGACTGTGATACTCAACAACAGCGAAAGGGAATGTTTCCTGAGATCTTCCCTGCCGCTTCTTCCCACAAACAGAAAATCTCCTGCTGGCTCATGCAGTTGCAGAGGCTTTGAACTGAGATGAAAAAAACTGAGTAAGCCGGCAGAGAGGCTACTGAGAGGGAACCGCAGAGAGATGCAGAGAAAGGGAAAGCAGAAGTTAAAGATACTGTAGGTGATAGAGAATGAGACTGAGGCAAGAAATTGAAAAGAAAAAATTTGAAGGAAAGGAAAAGAATGGGAGACAGAGGGAGAGATACAGGTAGGAAAATGCTGCAAGTCCTTTATCTCTCTGTTTCTCTTCCTTTTGTTCACCCTCTGTCTTTTCGTCTTTGCCCTCTTTTGCTCCTCACTTTCTCCTCCTCTTTAGGTGCTAATTCTGCTGTTCACATGTTTTTTTATTCAGCTCCCCTGTATCCATCCCGTCTGTTTTCTCCCACTTCAAACAATTCACAACTCGCCATGTTTTGTAACAACAGCTTCTTCGAGCAGAGACATAAATGCACACACAGAAACATATTGAATGGAGGAGTTGTAAAGCCATAAAAGTGTAGCTTGACAGGCAAAATGAATTGAGTGAGGAAGAATGAGAGCTTGAGCAAGCGAGGCACTGAGGAGCAGGAGAGTGAAAGAAAGAAAGAATGAAGGAGTAAAGGGAGGAAGAATTGAAGGGATGACAAGGTGTAGTGGAAGAAAACATTAGATAACAGAGGAGACACACAAAGACAGAGTAATTCAGAGATTAAGATAGAAAGAAAATGGGAGGTGGAAAAAGAGAGACTCAGGTGGATGAATGAAAAAGGAGAGTGCGATGAGCCATCAGTGGGGCTAAAAGGAGAAAGCGACAGAGAAGCAAGTGAGAGAGAGGAAGCAAATGATGTGAGAAACAAAGAGAGGCAAATCAATACCTGCCCCCAAACCTGTAAACACACTGTGAGAAAAGGGATTAAGCCCATAAAATGTGTTGGCTGGGTGAATTGCGCCATGGGAGATATGCCTAAAAGACGAACGGAGGAAGGGAGAAGCCGTAATGGTGTGAGAAGGAGACCAGGAGAACAATGGAAGAAGATAAAAGAGTACTGGATCTGGGACAAAAGGACAAAGAAGATAGGTGCAGGGAGAAGGAGAAGAAGGGCTGGAGGGAGAGATTGGGGGGGTGGGGAGTAGGAAGACAGAAAGGAGGCAGGGGACCAAAGTGTAAGAAGTAAGTGTGGAGTGTGGAGATGTGAGAGGAAAGAAGAAAGGGTGGGGAAAGGAGTCAATGATTGCAGTGACAGATGGAAGAGCAGAGGTGCGTAAGCAAGCAGGGATGAGTGTTACTCCTCCAGACTCATATGAAGCTAACTCAGTCTATTCACAAGACGGGAGAGACACAGAGAGAAAAGACGAGTTCAGAAACCTTCAATTATAGTCACAAGTGTTCTTTGGGCATCAGAGACCTGCAGACATATTGTGCCGGAATATTAACTGCTGAAGTCAATAAGAGTGTTTAATTTATTTTTAGACAGTGGGCGGGGGACAGATTATACAGGGAGGCGTCCCCACAAAGATCGTAGAATGAACAGGGCTCCATGGATGTGGGGAGGGGCTCATAGAGAATGCATAGGGTTCAAAATAAAGTTTTTGATAAACCCTCATTCAATTGATAATTTGAATCCCCATTATCTGTTGGCTAGCCACTAGCTATTGTTTCTGGAGACAACAACAGAAAATGATGAACAACATGCTTTAAGAAACTGGCTTTGGAATTGTCTTGTGTGCAGGTGTGTCGATTTTTGTAACGGGACTAGCAACAAGCAGAACATGTTGTAGAGCAGAGAATTGGGAGGATGACTTTGGGGAGATGCAAGGCTTCTTCAGGACACCGGTGACATACAAAGCCAGAATTAGTCATTAGTTTGCTGCGAGGACCAGCGGTTGCCTAGAAACCTGCAATGTTACAAAGAAAAGATTTAGTCTTTGGTTTTGGTTTTTTTGGAGTTCAGAACAATTTTTTGTTAATTGCACTTTGATTCTGCATCCAAAAGACTGGTCATACTGCAACAGAGAAAGAGAAAAGACACAGGAAAAAAAGGAAAAGAAAATAAGATAAAAAGTTGACTAAATCAAGAGTTTAAGGAAGAGTCCAGGCGAGAAACAAAACACAGAAAAAGTAATAGTCAAACTAAGAGAGAAGCAAGATTCCCAAATAGTGTTCATATTTGGTATTATTGTCGAAACAACACTTGTTATATTAATGCATTTTGTCCATTTTTTTTTCTGTTCATTTCAGTATTTGCTTATTGCTGCGTCTTCTGTGTACATACCATGTATGTGTTGTTTATGCATGCACATCTGTGTATCTGTGTCTGTCTTCCTCCCTCTCTGTGTATGCCTGTGTGCACTGTATATCATCATAGCAGAGTGAATGGAGCGTGAAACCATCTGTCTCCTGGTTAGATGAGAATTACACTGACTTTATTAGATGTTTGAAACCATGCAGATGGTTATCATTATCTTAGGGAGTTAGGCACAGGCACGCTCATGGACGCGCCCACACAGGTGTTTATCGAGGTGTTATGAAGTTATATGCATAGACGTCTATGCTCATACAACACTCTTGCATGTATGAACACAGGTTTGTTTGAATCATTAGCATTACATAAATAGCAATCCCATATAGTGAGTCTCAAGTATAAATATGTAATTCTTCCTGAAATCCCCAATGTAGGAAAAAATTTCAAAAGGAGGAGGTTGATGGAGAAGCTGCCTTATGGATAGTATTGCATTTAAATTAGCAGACTTGAGGAAAACAATATCACTGCTAAATCACAGTGGAAGCAGAAATTTCATCACAGACAACGCAAACCCCCTAAATGTCCGTACAGAAACTCTCAGTCCATATGGTGACCATGGTTTGTCTTTTGGTTAAGCAACTTAAATCTGGTGACCTAGGTCATCTGCTGCTTTAAGACAGTAAATGTCCATATGGTGATCATGGCAGTATGCTGCTTTTGCTGTTCTTGTTTTATACTTGATGTCACACTGCAGCCATATTTTATTGTGTTTATTTATTCATTGTTTATTTGAGAAAGTACAATGTACAATGATCAACATTCAAAACAAATGTAAATGTACATGAGTTGAGCTTCTGTTACAGGCCATGGTTACCTCTCGCCTCGACTATTGCAATGCCCTCCTAGCGGGTCTTCCAGCTTGTGTGGTGAGAACGCAGCAGCATGTCTGGTTTTGATCAGCCCAAAAGGACTCATGTCACTCCATTGCTGTGTGACCTCCACTGGCTACCCGTGGCCTCCAGAATCAGATTCAAGGCACTAATGCTTGCATACAGAGTGACTACTGGGTCTGCACCCATCTACCTAAACTCCATAATACAAGTTTATGTTCCTTCTCGGCCGCTACGCTCCTCCAACGAACGCCGCCTGGCTCTGCCATCCCTTCACACAAAGCAATCCTAGTCCCGGCTGTTCTCAGCTCTTGAAAACTCTCTTCCGAGAACACTTCCTCTTATAACATCTCTAACTCCTAACATCTAACATGCACTTCCTGTGCTCTTCTTCTTCTATCCCCTTACAATTATTTTGTATTGATTGCACTTTTTTTTTAATTTTAAATTCTTTCACTAGGTATTTACCCCATTGATGCGATATGTGCCATTAGCGCTTGCTAGTATTTACTGCTGCTTTATGTATTGTCAGTTGTAGATCTCATGCTGTATTTTATGCTCTGTTAATGATTGTATGTTGTTCCTCAAATGTAAGTCACTTTGGATAAAAGCGTCTGCCAAATGAGTAAATGTAATGTAATGAGTAAGCCACGAGCTAGTTTTCATCAGCAGTCCCTTTGCCTGATGTTGTTAGGCATCCAAAAATAATAAAACTAATACAAAACAATAAACAATGGATAGAAATAACATTACTTTAAAAATTGGGCTGGGCAAGTTAATGCATTATTTAATTAACGCTGACAATTATTTTATCTCGTGTTAACACAGTTTTTATTATTATTATTTTGAAAGTCCGTTGCTCACTGGCTTTGAATACACATACAGTCAAACCGGGGGTCACAGGAGGTGTGGGATGTTGATCAGCCTGCAATCACCCACCCAAACAAGCAGTGGAGGCTTCGGCAGACTAGGTTGAATGCAGCTTGTGGGAGAAGTAGATAAACAAAAGCAAGGCAAGCAAACAATTAAACGCCATAGCAGATAGCTACACTCTGCATGCTGATTAGTAAAACTCAGAAACGTCAGGGATCAGTCTCTCTTCCAATGATTTGTGCAGCACGTTGCATACAAAAAGTTCAAGACAATTCAACTCGGCACTTGTCACTACGCCTTGTGCTCGACCACTTCACCTCACTCTAACAGGGACACTTGCTACTGAACATAGACTGTTTATGCTGCTCCCTGATAAAAGAAAAATGTTTCTTCTGATACCTGCCCAGAAAAAAAAAAACAAGAAAACAGATTTATATATGTTAACCTGTTGCTCAGAAGGTGCCTGTTAGAATTTTATGATCGTGACTCTGGACTCTGATGGTAACTTGTTTTAACAAGCCAGATAAAAGGTAATGCCCTGGCAGTGGCAAATAGCTTTGGTTTTATATTTGATTTGATTACATTAATGTTTGAGATTTACAAGAAATATTTTATCGCTACTGTGTAAAGGGAATACTGCTGGTAAAAAGCACCTTATTTGTTTAAAGTGTTTGCAAACCACATCTTATTGAACTTTTGTGTATATAGCAGTACATTTAAATTAAAAGTGCGCAATACAGTACTTTAGAATTCATTGTTAAATTTTTTTTGCATAACAATGCGATTAATCACGATTAATCGTAGAAAATCATGCAATTATTTGCGATTACATTTTTCAGTCGTTGTCCAGCACTAGTTAAAAACATAAACAATTGGTTAAACAACATGAGCATTGTCATGTACCATTGTGAATTCCTCATTATAAGCACTTGTTTACTACATATCAGAGATTAGAGAGGGGAAGCACAGTGGGTAGCTCGTTGATCAGCGTGTGGGGTTTTTCCTGCATTTTGTCTGGTGCATACTGGGGTAGACACCAGCCCCCGACATGACTAAATACACAAGCATTTGGCTTTGGCAAATGTTACAATGCACATTTTACATTTAAGTTTTTCTTCAGGGGGCCGTTGTTTCAATTGTTGTATCTTAGGGCTGCATATCCACCAGGGACAAGCCATTACTGCTGTTTTCTTGTCTTTGACAATCTGAGAGCTCATCATGTTATTTGGTGCTGATTAATTTGTCTCTACTGAAGGCAAAAAGATGTTAGTTCAAATGAAGTATAAAAATCCTATTGTAATAATATTAGTCATTACTGGCATACTATTTGTTAAACTATCTGTTTTGTACTGCTATCTACGGCGTTAGAGCAGTGTCAGCGTAAAAAAAAAGTTCATTCTTTCACTTGTTAGAGCCTACATCCAGTATACTGAATATTGCAAACGGTAGAAAGTAAGACGAGACAGATTAAATCCAACAGAAACACACCTATAGTCACAGCTAACAGCTGTATTTGGATGGATGGATGGAAACCGAGCACCTGGTGGAGAGAACATGCTAATTCAGTACACACAGGAAGGATCAGTGCAGAGATTCCAACACCATGCACCATGTACCATCTTCAGTGCTATAGGTGATCTTTTACATCTCTGTGTGTGTTTCAGTGATCCAGTGTGGACCTCCTCCTCAAGTACATCATGGGAAAGTAGAAGGAACCGACCATTCATGGGGATCGAGTGTGAGCTACAGTTGTTTCCATGGTTACCAGTTGTCCACCCCTGCTGTGTTAACCTGTGAGGGAAATGGGACGTGGACAGGAGACGTACCACAGTGTCTGCGTAAGTTTCGCTACCTAAAAACTACTGCTTAGTAAATTTAAGTAACTTTATCCACACATCACAGTTTCCCTTTCAGCAGCATTAGCAGTTCAAATCAAAAGTCCTAACTGTATGCATCTCATTTAAGCTGTGCTGTGTGGCGATCCTGGCTCTCCTGGAGGAGGATTCAGAGAGGGGAACATTTTTTCCTACCGGTCAGTGGTTATATCTAGCAATTACTGACCTAAACAGACACTGCTTTTCATATATTCATGTATGATAGGTGTGTAAAACAACACAAGGAATGTTGTAGAAAGGCTGTCAACCTTTTTGAAATACTTGCTGCATGTATCCTATCTGTCCTATGGACATCAAACAATACTTACATTTTTTGTATGTGTAATCAAATCTTTGTCTCCTATACAGGTCAGAGGTCAGGTTCTACTGCCATGCCCCCTACTTGCTGGTAGGCTCTGCCTCCAGGGTCTGTCAAGCTGAGGGGATTTGGAGTGGCCAACAACCAGCCTGTATAGGTAATATAAATATAGGTATTGGTAAACACCAAGTAACTTTTGCTATAAAACACACTACAAGTGTGTGTGGTGTTGTTGTTTTTTCCAGTATAAAGCTTTTAGTTTATGCTCACTTTCAGGAAGGAAAAATGAATAGCATTGTCTTCAGTGCTCTTTACATCCTTCTGCATCACACACAGACAAACCTGCATACATGTGAGGTACAAAATTACACCATTGTATGTTTGTGTACATCTTTGAAATATTATATATATTAATCTTTCCATATTTGTGAGGAACAGACATTTTGTATACTGCAAAAAAAAAAACATTACATCAACAAGTTATGAATACAGTTGATTGAAATCAGATTATTGGTAAACAGGATTGTGGAGTTTACCCTTGTACACATTTTAGCATTAGTATTCCTGTGCGGATAGAGCTGAAGATATTATCTAATAAATAGATGAAGTGTGAAGTTTTGATGTCAGCGTTTGGTTTCTATAAAGATTTTATCTCGGAAAAGCATCCCTTGATTTTTTGAAGGAAAATTTAGGTTCTTGTGGTAACTGCTCTGAAAGCATGAAGCTTATTTTGGAACAAGCTGTGAAATCACAAGGAAAAAGCAGAATTATTGTGTAAGAACTGAAGTGGAAAGCAGCCTTGTAGCAACACTGCAGCCAGCTTAGAATGTTCCTCGGTTATGTCGTACAAAGCATGGTGGAACCCATTTGCCCTGACCATTATTGAATTACTTCTTGTGACTTGTATCTTTCATAATTGCTGCTGGATGATGTCAGTCTTTTATCCATATACTGTACATTATTTTAAGTAGTAGAAGCTCAAGTTGCAAGTACTCCAGTGTATTGCAGTATTGGAGTACTAATACTTTTACTTTACTGCTCGATAATCCAGCAAAACAATTATGGTGCACTGTAGCTGAACATCTGTGCTGACCACATTGGTAAACTTGCAGTACGTATGAAATATCAGAATGCTTCCTTGACTTGGAGAATGATTATAAAAATGTGAAAGAATATAATGCCCAATGCTAATGTGTGTGTGTGTGTGTGTGTGTCTGTGTGTGTGTCTGTGTGTGGGTAGACCCAGCCTTCAACAACTGTCGTGACCCAGGAACTCCAGCCTATGGTATCCCGGTCATGGCCCAGGGTTTTCAGGTGACAAATATATCATTTGTGTGCTTGACAAAACTGCGGTATAATCCTTCAAATAACATTTAATACATAAAGAATCGGACATGTATTTACATTTGCACTTTTAAATAAAAACTGGCTGAGTGAAAGTGCAGCATGCAGAGTTGTGTTGGTAAGTACATTAGGTTCCAAACAAAAGTAAATATATTCTCTCCATCTGAGATACAGTAGGCCTAAGGTTTGCAAAGTTCCTCAGTTGGACAAACAAGAGCCAATCAAAAATGCAGGTCAAAACTTCTGATTAAAAGTGGCACCCAGACTTTACAGATGACAAAAAGAGGCAATATTTCTTTTTGTCTTAGGAACCAGGCTGTCTGGAGCGCACACAACAACCTGCTGATAGAATATATTGGCCATAAATCCATAATGTTTTGTTAGACTTAAAGAGTTATGGGCTAAATGTAATGGAAACTAACCCATACTGTTGATTGTAACATGTCTTAAGAAGCTAACAGCAAGAGGACTTTTGTTTTGCTTTTACATCATGAAGGTTGGCAGTAAGATTTCCTTCAAGTGCCGTAAGAACTACCACATCCTTGGTTCCACCACAAGAACGTGCCTAGAAAACCTAACCTGGAGTGGAACTCAACCTGAGTGCATATGTGAGGAATAACTATGTCTGTTATTACCGTGTACAAATATTATTTTTCCTCATCATAGTGTGTGCGTTAATTCAATTCATCTGTTTTTTTTGTTACTGGTGAGATTTTTTTTTTATGTTCATGTTGCATTTTACTCAATATTTATTTTGGTTAGTGTAAACTCTGGGTTTATTATTCTCCCCATCACTCAGCCCATTCATGCAGACAGCCAGAGACCCCCAGCAATGTAGATGTTCGAGCTATGGACCTGCCTACCTTGGGATATACGCTGATCTACACCTGTCAAGATGGTTTCTATCTGGCTGGGGGATCAGAGCACAGAACCTGCAAAAGTGATGGGAGATGGTCAGGCAAACCCCCGCTCTGTAAAGGTATCTAGATCCTATCTTGAAAATGTGCAGCTTGTATAAAATGGGCTCCTGTTGAGCCTAAGATCTAAACTGGATGTCATAATACCATATGGCTTTAGATAAATACAGATTATCACCCTGATATTATTGCTATGCTCTCATAAATCAGCCTTAGGCTTACCATGAATGCTTGGGTGATGTTTTTTTGTTGTTGTTTTTCACACACATGGCCCTACCTAGTCTGAAACACAAGGAATGGGTGGCTGTGAATGCTGTGAACCATACAGGAAATACTGCCAGTTCCTTTTTATGCGTGGAATATCAATGTAAAAAGCAAATTTTATGGCTTATTATATTAATAAATACTTCCTGTCACACATTAAATTTCATTCATTTCTATTCATACCAAATATACTGCCAATAAACTAAACCATCAAGTAAGCTAATCTAAACTTAATCCTATTTTATGTTTCAGTTGGAGTGAAGGTCAATCCCAAAGGCAGAGGAGAGTCAGATGTCCAGAAGAACAAGATTCGAGGTATGCAAAAAAAACACTACAACACACACATACACTGTAGTACTTAAACCACAGATGTAAATTTCAAATCGAAATGCTGTTCACCTTACCGTTCTTTTAATCAACAGGATTGTCACAAAGTATTTTCCAGAGAGGTATTGGTAGAACGTTGTAGTGAGTGTTAACCATTTGAGTCTTCTGTCTGGACAAGCAGTCTTGTGTCAGATTTATACAACGAAGGCTCAGACGAAGTAAATAAATCAGTCAAAACATTCAGGTGCAATACCATGAAATACCTTGTAAGTTTGAAGTGGGATTTTATAATCAATAAATGCATTTAGAGGGAGCCAGCAAAGAGACTGACACCAGAGGGAGAGACCAAAGTTGTGCAATTTTTGCAAGAATAGTAAAGCTGCTGAGTTTTGAATAAGTCATATTTTAAAGTGTGGGATTCAGACAGGCTGATCCCAACCCACTGCAGCTGTCAATTACGAAGGTATATGTTTTGTCTGTTTCTCAGGAAACCCCTTCACCCTTATCTCGCCATCATTTCTATTCATTACTTATAACTTGTGGCTTGGAAAAGTTGCAAAGGTTGGTTGGCAAGCATGCTGAAGTTGATCCTTTCAAACTGAGAAATCCACATGGTGTTACTCGTCACACTTTAAAGCAGGGGTGAAATTGTTAGCAGCAGCATTAGCAGCAGCAAACTTTTGATTGAAAAAAGTCAAGCGAGCTTTACATTTCTTCTTGTTTTTGTTTTTTTGTCTCCATTACAGTTCCAGTGGACGTGTTCTCTCCAAACTCTGAGTGGAGCGGTTTTTACGAGTATCTAGGGAAGAGACAGGCCACCACATTTACAGTTACTGGGTTCAATGCTACCAGTGGCAGAGTTAACGTCACATTGCTAGAGACCAGCGGAGTGTCAATCAGACTGTCAGGTAAAAAACAAAGATCACAATAATGTTATTAAGAGTCACTCTAATGAATTTTACTCGAAGTAACTTCAGAAAAGACCTATCATTATGTTATTTTTATGTTTTAAGAGTTTGAAAATAGGATACGTAAAACTGAGCCAATAAACTAATTTGTTGAATCTGTTTTATTTTCTAAGATTAAATTTACATCAACAAATCCTGTCGTAAATGTTCAAAGTCATAAAATGTACATAAAAAAGAACATACGTTTCTTTAACAACCCTGAAGAAGATAAGTGGATATAGAGAATGTGTGGGAAATGCTTATTAATATTCATATTCAAATATTGGATAAATGAAAATAAAGTTGACCTGTCTTTGTAAACTTTCACAGTCTGCATTCTCACAAAAGAGTTGTAGAGGATAAAGAGAAACTAGGTTACTATACGTTAAATAATATAACATGCAGAGGCACTGGTGACAAAGTTGTGTGCCTTGGCCCCTGCACATCAAGGCAGGTAATACATTACCTTAGCAACATAATCTCCCGGGGGTAGTGCTGTAGTGCACATGATGCTTTTTTCTTTCATCTACATGTACTGTAGATACATGCAGTGTGTTGTATAGAAATGACTGGCAGGTTAAAAAAACAGGTTAAGCCTCCAAAATAGTTGTGTTTAAGCAACTGAGAATAACTGTCTGACTCTCCCACTGACACTTGACTTTTCACAATGACATTTCACAATCAGCAGTTCAGCTTGAACATGAAAGATGTTCTGCCGGTGAGAGACGAGGGCTCTCAACGCATAAAATAATTTTTCTTTTGCACGGACTTGTCATATTGAACAGCAGCAGCTTCTGTGTTGGCACTATAGTTAACCAAGTAGAGACATGTAGCTGAAGGGTAAATGTCACCTTTCCTCCACTGTCAGGTGTTTGGTGAAGAAAATAGAATGTGATAATTCAAAATGTTGATGTGCTTTTTTTTCTGTGTTTGTCAGTCAGCCTGTCTGTCTGTTTGCCTACGACCCTGTCTTTCTGTATATCAACCTCCTCAATGTCTTCCGCCATTCTTTTTCTCTCCAAGCGCCAACTCAAATTAGAAGTAAAATTGTGATTATTATACCAGATTCAGGCACTTACCCCATTCTCTCCAAAACAATATCTCTCTGTATATATCTATTCATCCAGGTACCTATAAGTCAGAGGAGAACCAGCTGCTATTGAAGGTCTACCAGGTGAAGGGCCCGGCAGAGCATTTCCTCAGCAAGTTTAAAAACGACAACTGGGCTATGGATGGATATGTAAGACATACTTCTCAAAGCATTTCAAGCATTTGACAAAGACATCTTTTTAGTAACAATCAATATCACAATAATAATGTTGATATTCTTGGACAACAGAATTATAACAGGATATGAACGTATCATTAAAGTCGATAAATGCTGATATTGAATTATTGCCCTGTCCTACCCTGTAACAATAATATAATACCATCCACACCACATTACTCACCCTGCACCTACTACAGTGAACAGGGTCTTGCGAGAGAGGTGTATTGAAATTCCAGACAAATCCTCAGTCCCATTTTGCAAAACAGATTTATAAATACAATGAACTCTAATTAATGTCTTTTCAAATAGAGGAATAATGTGATTTACCAAGAAGCTTTTGTTTCCATGACAAAGGTGTAAGTAAATTATCGCCACTAGCTAAATTAAAGAAAAGTCATCAGAATCCAAAAATCCCAATACATGTCTATGCACTTGTTACCAAGAATGCAGTATAGTTGAAATGAAAGTGGTGTCAGTTTTTTTCTTTTATTAGTCTATCCACAATGTTTACTGTCTTTTAAACTTTTATAGGCCAAATCTATAGAGTAGTTTAAAATGAAGACATCCAGAAATGAACTATTTGCAGAGTTGGCCATTATAAAGAATGAAAGTTTATCTCCTACATGTCACATCTAATTGCTGTCTATTATATTTTCTAACTATGTCTAAAATTATTTTTCACAGAATGTATCTAGGGATTCAAGAAGGAGTAAACGAGGGAGAGATTTGCTGTGTATTCATATTTTCTAATTCATATTCTTTAGATTGTGGATGTATGCAATCAGCTACATTAAATTTGATATGAGTATTGAATGCTATGGGTGTCTAGAAAGAGAGATAAAGAGCAAAAAATAAAGATAGAAAGTCATCTGGGACAAGTCAGGCTAAAAATGGCCAACTTGTGATTCCTGAAAAACAGTCCTACAGTTGTTGATTTGTGGATAAAACATTGCTGCTTCAATCTCCAAACACAAGATGGTGGAGAAGGGAGCAGAAGGAGGTGGGGACAGGAAAGTGGCCAGAGTACATGATGTGGAGAGACTTTTTGAAACTTACTTCTACTGTAATCCTTAAAAATGACAACATTAAGCTGACTAGTGTTACCTTGAAGTTGTCAACCATACACAGTCAATTATACAGGAAGGTCATTACATATTCGAAAATATTTTCACCCTACAACCACACCTGTCTCATACATCCTATTTTTGAATCATAAGCTACTTTGCTTAGTATTCTGCACTGTTTTCATAGTGAAAAAAGTGAGAGTTGAAGACTGTCCACTATACTATCAGGCTAACACTTGTTTCTTTTCTACCTCCATCACATAATCCTTTACTCCTAAAACAAAATATCCAGTGTCTTCCACTGTCTGTGCAAAAAAGGCTGATATTAAACTGTATGTTTTATTTTTCAGGTGACTGCAGAATCAGACCAGAAAACATTTGTCTACCAGGGCCATATTCACAGTAAAGATTTTGGCAAGTTCCATCTGACACGGCAAGGTGGGTCTGTCTGAAACATCAGCACCAATAACAACCAGAACAAACAATAAGGCCATAAATCTTCCGGGGAACACAAAGTCATGCTGAAAGTGGAACAATGTGGAAAACCTAAAATATAAAGTTAATATCATTGAAATGTTGTGGTTAGTGTAGTGTAAAATCATTTAATTTTGGAAAGTAAACATGAATAGAATAGCTTAAGTGTACAGAATAATAATCTAAGAAGCACACATGTAGAAAAGGAGTTTGGCTGTTTTGTGTTCATGCATTTGTGGGTTTATCTGTCTCTCTATCCCCAGGCCCTGTAACCATGGCAATGGATCCATCCAACCCCTACACAAACAGCAGCTCTGTGGCAGCAGCCATCTTAGTTCCCTTCTTTGCCCTCATCCTGTCTGGATTTGCCTTCTACCTCTACAAGCACAGGTAAGCAAGTCCTCAATGTAAATCCATCAAAGAAGGACAGACAGCAGAGTAGAATACAAACACAGGTGTTTACCTTCTGGCTCTGCTATCTCTGTAAAATAAAAATAAAAATTTTATAAAAAAATAGTTTTGATGCCTTCAATGAAAGTAATGTAAAAGCGTACTGTCACTGAGTACAGCGTAGTAAAGTAAAAGTGAAATTATAACACACACATGAACAGAATCTCAATCAGTTAATATTTGATAGGTTCACCTGCTGAATGAAAATATTGGAATTATTTATTCATTTATTTCACAACACTAACTTATTTTTGGTTGCACTGCATTGTGTCTCTTAAGGCCTACTGGCGATGAAAGACTTATTACTGCATATCTGCTTTTTGGTAAATGTTAGTGGCAAAATGGTGGGACCTCTCAATCTGAGAGGCTGTCACCAAAACTTGCCTGTGTTTATCTAGCTTCTCAAAGTGAGAAAAAGCATAAAGCATCAATTAAAAGAAAATCCTTTTTATTGAGAGTAAGTCTCCAAAACTTACTAAACAACCCGATCTTACAGCACTGTTCCTAGAAGTGATTCTGAGATGCTTAATAAATATGAGCACTGATGGACAGTTTATTATTTATGCGACAGCGGAAATGTTTTTGCTATCAGTTGTAGCTACACTTGAAGTATTTTGAAGTGACAGTTTTATGTGGCTTTTTGATTATCCTCAAGAAGAAGAAAAATAAACCACAAACAAAATGAGTCCATTAATGCAAAATGCATGTAGACAAGGGAGGACCTTTCTCTTGATTGTAAGCATTTGTTACACTGAGGACATTTGTTATACAAAGAATTAAAACAATATTGCAGTCTCACACAATGGTGTAACCATTTCCTTTCACAAAACAAATCAAACCGTCTTTTATATATATATGTATTTTGAGACACAGGGCTCTAATTTAATGAAGGTGAAAATGTCCAGGCCAGTGTTGTCAAATATACACCAGCCTATATATTATAATACTGCTTTCACAATTGCTTTCAAGGGCAGATATTGTCCTTTTTCAAGTTCAATTCAGATTACAGTAGACTATGAAATCCCTTATAACATCCTGTCTATGAATAATAATGTGAAGTAGCTTGTACAGTGATCTGTACAGTTGGACTGAAATTTTCCTTATAGTTGTTAAAATTCTTTAAAAAAATAGTTTGTTTAATCCATTGCTTGACTGGATAAACATTTCCCATAAATATCACAGACAAAAACATTCATAGTGAATGCCCTTATACATCCTACAAGCAGTTGTGGATGACATTATTGTTAGGCATCACCCAATAAACTAACCTTGAATACATCTTCCCTAATGACATTGAAAATTGAATGATATGAATGATGTCAATTCACTTGTATGAGATGAAAAATAATAATAGTCATTAGTATGACCAAATACGTGCAGACAGACGAGTAACTTACTTGCAAACTGCCAAATTGTAAGTTCACCAGCATGTGTCCCTTGGACCACCTTGCACCAGTGTCACATTAGAGCTCATTTGATAAAGAGAGTGATGAAATATTTTTTGAAAATGATTAATTAGCGAGTCCAAATTATGTAGAGGTGATGACTGTTTGATACACACTGTTTGATACACACTGTATCCTAAAACAACTGAAATATTTTATGGGGACCAGATGGACAGGCAGGTTTACAGGAGTTTTAAAAGATAATTATAGCGCTAAAACTCCAACCATGAAGGTTAAATCTGATTGACCTTAGATATTAATTATTGTTCCTAGAAAGTTCACAAAAGCCTTACAATGGCTAAAGATGCAAGATAATTCAGAATTATATTGAGGGTAAAATGTCATCACTAATATTTTCTGTTAAAGACTTGTGTGTCTACATCTAAGGGGTGTTCTGACTTATACACTTCATCACTCAAAGTTATCATACTCATCTAACAGTAGTAATATTATTATTGCACATTAATATGTTGGCTTGCCATTTATGGCAGCTGCAGTGAAAGTGAAGCGTCTTGCTCTATTGACGTTATAGAGGAAACACAGACTGTTTGCCGGTAGGTCGAAACATGCTTTGTTAGCCAGTTAGTAATGTGCTTTGCTATGTACTAACCAGTTAGTATAATAAATCCTGTGGATGCTAGGATGGTGACTACTATGTACAGGAACATGCAGACTTACACAGATATTGACAGTAATAACTGATTAGGCCAGTAGATGACTAATAGTACCATTACATCACTTTCCACTGTGTTACACAACCTGCTTGAAAGTTGTGTGTGCTAGCGCAATGCTAGTTAATGTATATTAAAGCTGATGGTTGTATGCAGGACATTGTCTGCTGACACAGATGACAATGAGAGACCAAAAGACACCTGGGGGCCTGGCGGCAGGTAAGACTGGCACCTGTCATTCATCTGGTTTCAAACAGCAACCAGATCTCCGCCCGCCGCCACATCCTCCGTCAAACTCGTCATTCCCTTGTTTTCAGTTTTTAGATTTTTCTTCATGCTGTTAAGTAAGGCTGCACAATTGACCAACATATAAAAATGTTATTTGCTGACCTGAATTTGTGTACTTTTTTTTGTATTGCTGGAAAATAAAAATTAAGCCTGTAAACCAAAATGAATATTAATTCAGCAAGAAATGGAACAAGGAGATGCCCCCTGTTAGCTTAAAGTAATAGGGGTGACACAATGAAACAATTAAGTTTTTTAAAACAGTGCAGCCCTACTGTGTCAAACAGCAATCATAGATTGAGGGCTTTTAGTTTTGTCTTTGATCTCATTGTCATCTCTCTGTCAGCATTATGTCATCAAGAACAAATACAGTATTTAACCTACAATAAACTGGTCTGATTAATACTAGTAATATGTATACTTCTGTATGCTGTTGCTTTTTTCTACTGTTACCTTTAATTTTCATTTCTTTAATCTTGATTTAACAGTACTTGTATGATAAAGTTAATTTTGCTAACAAAATGCCGAGCCTAACATAATGGCAAACCAACAGAAATAGAAAAATATTCCTCACATAACAATATTAAAGCTTAAATGAGAAACTAAAAGCAAGGTGTGAGTGTGTACGCTGCAGTTTCTTCCTGCTTTGGCTCATCTCCCTGTACAGTATCTACACTACTGTCACAGCAATTATGTGTGCATTCTACCAGTAAAATTAAACTATTGTACCTACAGCCACAACCAGAAACTAGTGCAGCGATTTGAACTACAGCCACGCAGGGAGGTCTGCCGTGTGTGTGCAGTTTTGTAAAGTAATGGGTTGAGCATGTAGGGTAGGCTTAGTGGCTCCCCAGGGTTGGATTTCTACCATTGCACACACACACACACACACACGTACACACGCTCTTAATGAGGTCAGAGTCAAACAGCGTTTCAGCTGCAGCACTCCTCCCTGCTAATAGTTCCACAGGGTTTGGGAGTAAGTGATTATATCTAACTGGATTATAGGACCTGATTATCCAAAAATGTAATCTGCGACAAACAGACAAATTAGGAGGGGCTAGTCATATTTCACCATGTTTGAACCCCTGCAGTAAGTTTCTTAAAATCTTCATTCGGGCAGATTGAGTAATAATATATTCTTTTGAACTAAAACCATTGGGTACCTTTTGCAGAGTGATGGCAGGTTGAAAGCACACAGTCACACTCGCTTGAGAGCAGCAGATGGGCACTGGGCAGCTGAACCACTGAAGCAGGCAGTTGTTATGGTTCATGTTCTCCCTCCTGCCAGAATTTGCAATTTGTAGGTTTTTACCAGAAACCCACTCTTACCAAGTTTGCGTCTTTAATGTCAAAAGTAAAGCTGCCAATCAACATGTCAGTTGAAAAGGGACAGAGAATGTTTTTTTTTATTTTACTTTTTTTTTAACATGTTCTAGAAATAAATGAGACAAACATAAATTCAAAGATCAATATTTGGTTAATTGTGAATCTATACCTTTACAAGTATGTACATCTTCTCCTATGCATGCAAACTTTTCACACAAAAGAAAAAGTCTGACTTTTCACATACGACCTAAATAAGTGTTCCTATCTTGCAGTCAGCTGAGATCGTTTTACTCAAAACAAACTCATCGACCTACACAAGATCCATCAGACACAGAGCAACACGAGCATCTCACGTGTGTCTGTGAGACTCGACTATACAGTCTTTGTGCTGGAAAACCAAACCATTGAACTGAAAGCTGCATAGACCTACCATGACACTACAGACAACACTACAGACGTATGTGTTAATTCTGACTGGGCTCAGCACTACCAGTGACAATTTTACATGATACTGAGTCAATTAGAAATATCACTTAATACAGGTCATGCTAAATTAGTGCCAGACGTGTCACAGCTAATGCATACTGTACATTAAAACAAGGACCTCAGCAAATTTAAGCAACTTAATCCCGCTGTCCTAAAATGTCTATGAGTTTGTGGTTTAGTCATTTTGTGTTTCAGAGGCCTACACCTGTTTTGTGTGTACTGTGTTTTTATTTTTAACATTAAATACTAATAATAATTTTGCAAAAATATTTTTGTGAAAAACATGTATCTACCATGAACACAATTATTTCCTTCTTTTTTTTTTTCAGGACACGTCCCAAGGTCCAGTTCAATGGCTATGTCGGCCATGAGAGCTCCAATGGCCAGGCATCATTTGAAAACCCAATGTATGACACCAACATGAAGCCTACTGAGGCTAAGGCAGTTCGATTTGATACTACACTCAATACAGTCTGCACTGTGGTATAGTCCAACAAACCTGCCACTGCCTGTACAGTGGTTCAGTCCAGTTTCCCTGTTGCAGTCTGCGGTGTGGTTTCAGAGAAGAAAGAACAAACTTATGATTTGGACTCGTCACCGTGGGCAGTCTGTGTTGTAGCATGCTGGTCCTCTGTCGGCATAATCTGCACAATAATGCAGCTCTGCTCCACCTCCTACCTGAACAATGGTATCATCCACCTATTCCTATAGTCTGAAAGAGCGAAATAAGTTGGAACCAATAAACAAGGGAGTAAACAATAACATCATCAAATAACATGAAATCTGTTGATCAGACAGACATCCAGGAAAAACACAGAAAGATGGTACAACTAATTGACTTTCCTCAAAGAACGACAACCTGATTGACCAGTGCTCGTCCAGTGTCAGGTGACAAAATTTGGCCCAACCTTCTTATGGAAAGGGCTGGAGTTATATGGCTCTCAAATACCATCCCTGCAACCTGAATAGTGGTTTGCCCAACCGAACCAACCCATAGCCCATGCCAAATTTACACAGTGGTATAGGCTTACTAACTCCCCTGTGACCAGACATGGGTTTGACTGATGCAAGGTTCTACCCTCAGGGGAAGCAGATATAGTATTCCACCCTTCAACCCCCTCTAGACATTGAATAGTAATTGGATGGTTCCTATACCTCAACACAAAAAACATCATTAGTGCTGGACCAAAAACCTCCCACTGGACTGGACAGGACTGCACTCTCTGACGTAATGACAGCTTTTAGAGTCTGTTTTGGTTGAATTTGATATTGATTGGACAGACTGCTGTAAAGTTGACAACCAAATGCCAACGTAGTGACATGTTCAAAATAGACCAATTCCTTTGAAGAAAACGATACTTTAGTCCAGCACTAGATACTAGTTTTACATATTAGTACTAGGCGTGGTGGACTAGTGCTAGACAAGCCAGGGTCAAATAACAGCTGCAGATACATTTTTAAAATGTTTGTTTTAGCCTATTTGGAGAAATTAATGGGTTAGGTTTAATATAGCAGGACAATCACAGAGTTTGGGTTGACTTGTCAGTCAATAATGACTTTTCAAATAGGTTTCTGTGATTGTTTTTACCTTCTGCCGCTTACTACATTGCCTTTTATGACAATGTCTACCTACAGTATTTTGGCAACTTACTAGGCTAAAACATACCAAATCAAGCATTTGCAAATGCTATTTTTCCTAGGTTTAGTTTGAGGACCTGTGAACTAGTTCCAGATAAGTTTTGGATGTTTTCAAATATTCTATAGAGGTGTTACACTCTTAAAATCAGTCCTAAACACATTATCCCGCACTAGCACTAGCCAGACTGTGCTGAACCAGAAAACCAGACATTTGAGTTGCCGGGCTGGTGTACACAATGGACTTGTTTCCAGAGGCCTGTCAAACACAATCAAAGAGTCAGACAACAGATCCTTGTTCTTGGACTAGCCAGGATTCTGTGCTTGGTGGCTGAACAAGTGGAAGCCTGGAGGCAATAAGCTGTCAGGATCGTTGACTGCTGCAATCAGCTGTGGCCAAATCCAGGAAATGATTTGTCTTCTTGTTACTCCGGTCGGGATTAACAGTCTAGTGATGACTGATTCCTTTTCTACAGTAAACTCTCCAGCCACAGAGTCAGAAATAGATGAACGCATTAACAGACTGACCGTTGACTGACAGAAATTAGACAGACCGACACAGACAAATGGACAGATAGACACCTCTGTCAGTCGTGCTGGAAAAGAGAGGACAGGTTTCTATGGAAACAGAGGCAAATAGTTGTCTCTCATTGTCTCTTCTGGCATTTTTCTTCAGTGAAGATATTGATGAACAGACTCCATGTTCAAATACCCAGTGGCCCCATGGGACTTCCCAAACCACTGCTGCTGGGGACCCCAAAATATAAACTTTATATAACTCTTAAACCGCACAAATTTTGCACTAGTGTGTTTTTCTGACTGGGTTATGAAAAAAATGAATAATTTTTGGGTCTGAAATGGGTTTGAAAAATTAGTCATTCAAAAAAGAGAATTTTATTCAAAAACTTCTATCTTTAAAAAGACGGCGAAATGACTAAATACAGGGTTACAGAGTGTTTGTATATACACATTTATATTTCACACTCCTTGTTAGCAGGTGTGACCACATGCTATACCGTTGTTTATTTTGTTGCCATGACAACATGCTAGCCAACCAGAAAGTTGGGATCAGTTTACCTGTGGACCTCCAAGCTTCTGGTGTCACATAATGACACCTTTAATTTTATTTTTAGAACAGTGGTTGTTTCTGAAAGCTCATACTGAATACTGTTACAACTATAATATGTGTATGAAATAAACAGAAAGGCTCACATCCATAATACACACCATGGTACCACTGAAACACTGGTGCCACACTGCTAATTTTATTTACAGGCATTAAATTCCATCATTTTCTGAGATACTGTGCATAGCTACACAAACAGCACATAAAGATAGTATCTCAATATGATCACAGTTTTTCAGTCAGATCACTTGTAGTAGCAGACAGTGTCAGCTTTCAGAAACATGTGACTGTTTTTTCTGTTTGAGAATTGGTCATTTAAGGCAGAGGACAAACCGATACAGTATGAAGACAACATGCACAATTATTGTTGTCTACAGTTGTCTGCTCTGGAAGCCTCCGTCCCCCATTGTTTGAGAAATACCTCGTGTGCAGAGAGTAAGTTACATCCTGCTTATCAATGCTGGAACCTCACTGCAACAAATACACAAGCTTAGCGAGTGAGACCTTCCATTCATTATTTCCGGGTATTTTAAGTCAAAATGTCATATTAACACCCAAGAAAATGCATTAGTTTCAAATCACTTGCCAAGCTTGTTATTTCTCGCAGTGTTCTCTCAAAATATTTTTATTTTTCAAAAGATGCTGCACTTGGTTTAGATCACCGATGTATGCTTTTAATGTATGTCTTTCTTCAGGCCTGTTGTTCGTTTCACACGCCATTCCAACATTTGCTTTAACCAGCACGACTGTCCAAATGGATTTTCTTTTGACGTTTCCCCATGTTTTCAATTACTCAATGTCAATCCATCATACTCTCATACCTACACACAATAAATCGCAAATTCATTCATTTACACATACTGTATGATATCAAGTGGTGAGTGGTATGTAAGAGAGGCAACTTAGAACTACTAAAATTATGATTTGAATGCATGTTATATTCAAGGCCAAGACTCAGTTCATCAAATCAGAGAGTGGATTTTCTCTAGAACTGGGAAAAAAAACATTTGGCATGAGAAGGTTGTCACATCCACCTATTGTGACACAAATGAGAATGAATTAACTACCAAATTGCTGTTTCTATTTACATTTTCAGCTCACTTAATTGAAAATGTATCGACTGCAGACCTGAATGTTGCAAGTGAAATGTGCTGAAACAATGGTGATTATGTTTGGAAGCATGACTATGGCATATTGTTGACATCATAATATCCATTGTTTTCCTGTCATTCACTGCCTCAATGTCAGGGTCATGGTCAGACAACCAGAGACACGTACACCAGTGTGAGGCACAGGACACACATCTGCATATAAAAATATGCAGAAATAAAGAAGACATCTGTAAACAACAGTAGAGCGTCTGCTCAAAAGATAGTGAGCTGCCTTCTTTTTGCTGGAGTGCACCCAGTGCCTGATTTTTAATTGATTTAATTAATTCAGTTAAGATGTCCTATGGAGTCAAGAGAGCATAACAGAGCCTGAAAATTAGAGACTGTAAAGTTTCCACAGGTGTAATAAAAGGTCTATTTTGAGCAATAACACAAATCTGATCTACTAGTGAGCCCAAACCCCCTTTCCCCTGTTAGTAAAACAAAGGTTAGATTTCAGGTCTTGTGTAGCCACAGAAATTTGTGGAAATGAAAAGTGCATAATATGGTCTCACTTTTACATCACTTTGTAATGTTTCTTCTCCTTAAATTCTGGATACACGTACATAACCCAGACTCTGATAAATTTAGATATGTTGACTCAAGGTGGAGGTGCAGACACAGTAAGTGAACCCAGCCCTGGATTGTTGGAATACTAGATTACAGCTAAACAGAAATTAATTGTTACACATTTTTATTCAAAATAGTAAAATATCTCTTTCAACAAAAAGGTCTTCAACATGGTCACATACTCTGCTGTACTTTGCTGGAGATGATTAATTTTCTTGACGATTTAATTAAAATTAAAGCAATGTGAATGATTGAAATTGGAAGAAATACACTCCTCTGAAGTTTACCTGTGTTTTTTTTTCACCTAAGAACAGCATAAATAGGAATTACATTTTTGTGTCCCTGATTAAGAACATTTTTGTGGACATGGTCTTACAATGGACAACATTTTTATTGAAGTAGAAAATGTGTCATAGCTAATTCTAAATCTTGGTATAATCAAATTTTATGACAAAAGACCCTTCCTGTTGCAATGAGATACTCTTGTTCAGTATAGCTATTCTGTTCATTTGTGTTGGAAAATGTAAAAAAAGACGTGGGGAGGCTGCACAAACTGTAAAGCTGATACAGTGTGATACAGTGACTTCTACCTCTACTAATACTCTCTCTCTAAAATTGATATGCATGTTATCATTCTGAACATGACACATCCGTTCTCTGAGACTCCCTGAAAATGTAGATAATGTTCTCTTCACTCAAAAACTTTTAACACACTCTTTACAATTGTGTTAAATTGTGTTAAAGTTTCTACATTTGTCCTTCATTTGGCATCGTCAGCAGTCCTCACAGTCCTCACAGTTCCAGCGACAGCTGGATACAAGTTAAAAAAATTAAACTACCCTCTAAATCATAAAATGTCAAGGTTGTTTGTTCTTCCTGATCTAGGACTTTTCATAGTTTGGGGGGAAAAAATTCCACAATTGGCCCTCACTTTCTCTAAAGTGGTGTTGTCAGCATTGAAACAAAGGGACCCAGATTGCTGCAAGCTCAAAAAAAACCCAGCTACAATTGTCACATGGCAGAGATGATGAGTTTTTTCCCCCACCAGGTGTGAAATACAGAATAGATTCAATGCAGATATAAGATATATCTAAATTACATCAAGATGGGGTCTGAGAGTAATTTAATCACTGGTGCAAATTAAACCAGGAAGGACTGCAGAGTGATGTTGCTGAATTTTTCTGGTAGGAATACTGTAGGAAAATCCAGTTGCTATCCTGCTCGGGGAGCAACTGTGTCATACAAGTGTGAACTGTAGATGGATTTTTATCTGTGCTTGAATTTTATTGCTAGATGGAAATCAGGCGTTTCTATATGTGTCAGAACAATTTTTAACCCTAACAGTTTAAATCTGTAGTGTAGTCAAATTAAAATAGTCAGTATTGCAGTTCATTTGCCCGTGACAGGTTTTTGTTTCACCTTCTCAACAGTGTGGATAGGACAGACTTCTCATGCCACACGTTTGAAGAAAATTACAACCTCAATTGTGTGTCTGTAGTGAACGTGAGTTGACTGCATCGCTGCTTCACTCATCAGTGCAAAGGATGAATAATTATCATTTCGGCAAATCGCAGCTTGTAGATTGGGATGCCACACCTAACAGTGCTATATTTACACATTACAGTGACAGGATGTGTTCTCCGCATCACATGTTGACAGGCAGTAAATAAGTTTGATGCTTCTAAATGTGTACTGAAACATCTTGTTTAATTTTTGTTGTCCCAAATGGCAAGTCCTCACCATCGTCATAAATGTTATAATTTTAAGCATCATAATAACCGTCAGTATTATCACTGTCACCTCCCACCGTCATCATGTGCTGCTGAACTTGAAGTAGGTGCAAAAGAAAAAAACATTTTGTATAGAAATCTATTTTTTATGGAGAATTTGTAAAAAAGAAAATACAACAAACAAACAAATTATTAAACATGCTGTACTTTTTATGATTAATGATGTAGGTACAACAAAATCTTGTTCATTACAGTCAATGTTTTTACTGTTACACACCATGTAAAAATCTACGGTTCAAACTGAGTATCAAATATCAAAATGTCATATGATCTCTTTTGTCCATTATGGCTGCTTTTACACAGGAACAGAAAACCTTGTGGGACCCAGAGTTAATTATCTTTGTGCTGCAGAGACTCTTATCTCTGGGTCACAATCTAAAACACTTGAGTCTTAAAATGATGTATCAGTTCAAACCCCTCTACAGCAGAGTATGTGTGTCTTTTGAACAGCAACATTTTTAAATCAGCTTTCATTGCAAAAATATGATATGTAACGTAATGATGCATAGAACCATTCTGGGCGGCTTATAATGTGGCAGCTGTACCATAAGAGTTGCCTCGGCATTGGTGATAAAATATTGTGTTTACATACAGTAAATCTTTTGACTGCAATATAGATTCACACACTTCACATTGAAAACAACAGATGTTATGTGTCATAATGTAATGAACAGTATTCATGAATGGGTTGGAAATGACACTTCCTTTAAAAGACTGTTCTTGTGTAAGAGCAGCCCGGTGTGGCTGATCCTAATGTCTATATCTGGGAGAGGGATGAATTCCACAGGCACAAAAGATTTTGGATGACTTGACCCCTTTACGGCCCAAAATCTGACCTCGTGTCTATCTAAACAAGGAGGAATCTGGTTCTCCTTGCTTAGACATTATGGGGTTTAGAGTGGAAAATGATGGTCTAGCAGCCGCATAGCAAATCGGTTTTGGATGCTCTGATCTTGACTGGTAAGACTGGTACTCTAAGTTTTGAAGTAAAGGGCAGAAAATGTCATTTTTCTGTTCTCTTATGTGATCATGAGAGAGAAACCACGTGGAGTGTTATAAAGGTTTAAACAACAGATACTGTATGTGAATGCAGCCTCACAACCTGCTGTTAAAGAGACTCACAGTTTATCTATCAGCTATTTTGAAAACATTATTTGAGAATAAAGTTTTTGATACAATAATTTCTCCTTTGTACCAATGTTTTTTTTTGTAAACTGCTGTCTTGGTTTATATACTAGCCTTTAGTAGGATTTTGTTTGGTTGAATATGTTCAGTCACAAACTCAGAGTCAGCATGGAGCCTTAATCCCGGGTTTAAAATGGACGGAAGCCTCCCTGCGTGCATGATTTCTCGAATGTCCTCTTGGTGCTTCAACTTCCCTGCACAATCTAAAGATATGCTTGACAGGTGAGTTTATGTTATTGTTTGTCTGGGTTTATTAGCCCTTAAACAAACTGCCGACTTGTCCACAATGTACCCTGCCTCTCATTTAATGCATGTTGGGATAGGGACAATTTGCTTGCAGTTTGTCGTTTCAATGAGGAGCACCGTAATCCTGACAGAACAGGATAATCCATGGCAAACTGTGTGTTTGCCTCTGGATTGGGTATCAATTATAGAATAATCTACCCTTAGTTATTTAGTTCAGGCCCAGCACCACGCAGGGTCTTAAGCGAGCTTAGTCAACTCAGTTGTATTTTTCCCCCCTCTGTTAAAGCTTTATGTATTCAAGATGTTATGGGATGGTCAATGAGAGAGAGCTGCAAACTGCGAACGGTTGTTTCTACGTGCCTCCCCATTCTGACTTCACAGATAACTGTTTGTGAATTCAAGATAATTAGTGCTCTGCTAGTGCTACGCTCTTAGGCACCTTATGGTGTTGTTATTTATCCTTTCTGAGTCTATTGCATGGTTAAGAAACTTGCCCCCTCGCTGATTCAGTTACTGATGGGAAACAATGTAAAGGTCAATTACTGCTTATGAACTGGGATTGGAGTGGATTATCTCCCTTATCACATTCAAACAGGTATTGGTTACTAATATTATGTAGGAGTACACTCTATTAAAAAATAGAAGCTCTTTGTTGGCACAATATATGCTACCCTTAGTACAAGTATAAGGTAGCCTCTTCTTCATGGACATGGTATTTACATCCCTACATGCACACAATGCTCAGATATTTTAAATAATTAAAAGTACATTTACTTATCTTTATAGAATGTTGGGTTTAAAATGTTTGAAAGAAATTGCAAAGTTTGCGTTTTTTTCTGGACTTGCTGCTTTACCAGCATGTTACCATGGTGACACATTTGGGATGAGCAAATACATAATACACAAGGAAAGTGATT